TACAAAAGGGATATATGAGGGGAATTAAGAAGTTGTTTAGTTTTAAAAATATTTTATTTTTAATCATAAAGTTGTCACTTTTTCTTAAAGATTTAGGCAAAAAATAATGAATACAAAATTTTTAAAATTTATTTTTACAAATTTTTGCACAAAATAAAAATGGTAATAAAAATAAAAAAAATACTTTTTAAAACTAAACAACCTTACTTCTAAAAAAAATAAAATAAGTAGCGTGTGTTTAGAAATAACTTATACTAGTTATATTATTTTTAAACTATTTAATATTTTTTAATAAAAATATTTGATACATTATTTATGTAAATCAAACTTAAGTAATATATATTTTTAAAATATATAAAATTAAGAATATTTAATTATATTCTCATAATTATTAAATTTTGACAATATTTAATATGCATAATTAAGATAATATATAAAAAACAAGAACTCTTTTGATTTGGATTTGATAATTTAGATGATTAAATTTGAATAAAAGATAATTTAATAAATTTTTTATAGATATTTCTAGAAAAAATGACGCTTTAGGAGTTTTAGAAGAAAAAACTATTTAAATATTTTTGCTAAATTTTAAAAATAAAGAGGCTTAATTAGATAAAATTAAAAAAGCACTTGAAAAACCAAAATAAACACAATCTAAATTAGGGATATAAAAAATACAATTAAATTAAAAGAAATATTTATTGTATAAAAATAACGAGTCATTTAATGGTTTTTTTTTTTTTTGTAATTTAAGATACTTAAAAAACATATTCATATTATTGATCATGTATATTAAATAACATTTTATAACATATGTTCATGAACATATAGTAAAAAAAAATCTTAATTATTTAGTGATATATTCATATAATTGATACTGTATATTAAATAATAAATATCATTTTGAAAACGTATATTACAGCAAAAAGATGTTGACAAATTATAATAGAGATTCGTCCGAGGACAAATCAAAATAATGGATAGGGTTATTCTTAGTCTTAGTAGGCTCTATGTATGTAACTGTTGGAGACTTGGACTTTGAATGCATAACAGCCTAGCATTGTTCATTGTTGAAGTGAAGGTTGCAGCACACTTCCCCTCGACAATGGGTCATAACTCATTATTATCAGCATGTGGTGGTGGGTCATGGGTGCTCATAGGCCAAAAATATGATAGCTTCTACTATAGAGTATTAGGTAGGAACTTTTTCACATAAAACATTTTGTATATAATATTTCAATTCTTCAGCACCAACCATGCTCGTCCACAAGTATTAGAAACAAAATCAACACTGCAGTTGTTTATAAAATGTTTTTTAAACCAAACCCCTCTCATCAACACAGATATTTAATCACTTGTTCTAAATGATTTTTAGCTCTTTTTTAAATATATTTGGAATGTATTTTTAAGATTTCTAAGGTAGATAAAAGATAAAAATGATGATACATAATATTATATTCGATATCAATTTTACTAGCTCAAATAATAGAACTGTGAAAAAAAGATGACAACAGTACCAAAAAAAATATTTATAGGGAACAAATATTGATTACAAAAATGATGTGTTGGAGTTGCATCCAGAAAGCTAATCCCAAGGCAAACGTCAACAGCAACTTGCACAAAGCAGCGTAACAAAACATGAAGACAGAGGAGTGTGACTTTTTGCCTTAAATGCATAATAATTACTACTAAAAACGAAGCACGTTACTCGGTGTGACTTGGCCAAAGTCATTAAATTCTTTAACCCATCAACATTAATGATACTAATTGCATGGCTTCCAATGACCAAATTTGAGTCCATAGAACACTTGTCCTAAAGTTGGGTTCGTTGGGGGTGAAAAGTGTCTATTGCTTCAAACATCCACTCAGCAGTTTGTATTCTCTTTGCTCATCACGCGTTTTCAATTATTTTCTGCTTATCAGGTTGACTTTGGAGCAGATAGTAAATGCAGCAAACCATTCATGCAGTTCTTTACTTACATGAATTTTTCAGCTTAATCTATAATTTTAATTTCAAATTTTAATGAATAGAATTGTATTGTTTTGTGTCTATAATTATTCAGATTACCATTTCATGCAACTAAAAAGGAAAGGTGAGTAGAAAAGGACGAGCGTATTCTGAGCATGTGGTGGTGCATCATATAATGGGATCCTGTTCCATTCCTCGCTGCTGCTAGTTGAATCCGGTGGGTAACTCCGAACACAATTGGAACCACACTATCCATTGTTAAATGGGTTCATGTTCGGTGTTTGGTGAATCTTCATGCATGTATGTTTCAGTTGGCACTTGGAATTTTAGGTAATAATAGGCAAAGTTAACCTCTTCTATACACAAAATTTATTGACATTGACTTTCATGCAAACATCGCCTTCTCCTTTGTTATGGAGCAAGATCTCTTACACTTCAAAATCAACTGCATGACTGTGCAGTTACAATCATAACCAGTTACGACCTAAAAATAAAATCATAACCATTTAGTATTTTTAACTGAGTTTTTTCCTTTATAGTTTAATGCATGGCTGCATGCTCTATTTTATTTTTTAGAAAAAAAAGAGTGTTTAGCTTCTTTATATTTTTATCCTGTTTCTTATAAATAGATATATTGAATTTTTATTTCGTCCTAATTAATTTTAAAATTGATTTTTTTGTAATTAGGCACTCTAAATTTTAATTGATTTTTAAATTTTATTGCTTTTGCAAATAGTTTCTTAATAGATTAAGTTAGTGTTAATTTTCTTAAAAATTAATCATTTATTTATCTTAAATTTCAGTCTTTCAATTTTTCGTTATGATTCATTTTACTTAACATTAAAACAAATTAAAATTTTAAATTCAAGAAAAACTAAAAGTATAATAATAATAATAATAATAATAATAATAATAATAATAATAATAATAATAATAATAATAATAATAATAATAATAATAATAATAATAATAAAGATCATGCAATGGCTTTAAGAGAAAAAGTAATATTAATTTTTTTTAATATTTATTTATAATTTAAAAAAAAATATTTTATTATTTTTTTAAAGAAATAATATTATAAGAGTTAAAGTTATTATTTGATTGTTATAATAGAGATATATTCTCTTTATTTTAAAATAAATGTTGCTTTAGAGTGTTAACTAAAGATTTAATAATTCCTAAAGTTAAAAAAAATTAAGCTAAGTATTGAAATATAATATCAAAATACCAAATAATTCTACACGAACGCAAGTTTAAATTTTACTTTTAATAAAGATTAGTTACGTATTTTAAAAAATACATGTTTAAATCTTATTAGGTAGTTTTTAAGCACATTGTAAATTAAAAAAAATTTATATTTTGTCATGTTTAGAAAAAATTACTATCGTTAATTTTATATTAATAGATAATATAATTATTGAAATAAAATATTTATTAATTCAATTATTAAATTAAACTAATAAATATAAAAATATAAAATATTTGTTTAATTTTGTTAAACAAATATAATAATATAATAAAAAAAATATTAAACAATATAATATGGGTACAGTATATATCAATAAAACTTAAGAACTTATACATGAAATGAAACTAGAGGATGTTCTTTCCTCTCTAAGTATCTTTTAATTACTCATTGTTTACACATTTGTAACTCTATTGGGAAATGCATGACCAATTAATATGAGATGAGTAGGATCATGTGGAGTGCAGTGCAGTGAAGGAGACATCTTAATTGCACACATCTATTCTGTCAAAGTCAATTCCCTACACACATGCTGCTTTCGTGTTCCTTAGTACTATTAAACTAGTATGTCTATTCCTGCATTTACAAAACTAATTATCTTTTATTTATTATTTTGATTATAATAAAATTAAATATATAACTATCTTTTTGATTATATATATGAATATTAATATCATATTATTTATGATTATATAAAATGTCAATACATTTTACATAGTATCATATGATATTTACATTTTTACAGTCTACTATATATATAAATTAAAATATTTATATCAAAATATGTTAAACAAAATTTAGTAAATAATTTGTTATCTTTTAAAAATTAAAATTTAAACAAAGCTTTATCCCATCGTATACAAAATAAGATTTCTATTTAATTTCTTATCTTTTATATATTTATTAATAAAATTGTTAAATAATTAGTCAAGCATGAAATTAAATAAATAAATAATATTTAAATATCATTTTCATCAAAAATTGAAAGAATATAACATCAAATGATAACATATACTTTATGAATAACTTAAAAGTAAAATTGCTTATATTATATTATTATATAATTTTTTTCTCTATTTATGATAAATATATATTGTAGAGCATATTTTTGTGGTTTTTTTTAAAAGAAATTAATCTCAATTTATTAAAATATTTGAAACACCTTTAAATGAAATATTGAAGCAGAAGATTCTAATATAAAAAATAGAAACAGAAGATTCTGTTAAAAAAAACTTCAGTAAATAAAAATGTATGAAGATTAATTAACCAAGAAAAACTCATTTAAAATTTAATAACAAACAACATACTAATTCTAACCGATTTATTTGTGATAACATTTAAATATATATTTTGTCTTTATATATATATTTATTAAATTATTTTGAATATAGTTTGATCATTAATATAAGATTAAATGGTCAAACCGATACTTTTAAGATACTCATGAGCATGCTTCTTATCGAGAAGTGTATAAGTTATTAAAATTAACTTGAACATTAAATATACACATTAATATTGAACTTGTCGTTGTAATGCCCAAATTTCCATCCCTGCAAAATGCAAGTCGACATTAAAGTGAGATCAGGTAGGGTGGTAGTGGAATTGGCAATGGGACCATTTCATTCAATCTCACATTATATCCGCGTCAATTTAATGCACCTAACAAACCTTCCCAACCGTAAAAGCTACTGCAAAGCATGGCTTGTTCTGTATATCTTACTACTATATATTCTTGTACTCATCCCACACCTTCCTCATTCACTCACTCTCACATGCCCTTGTCCTCATTTTCTCACTACCCATCTTTCTTGCTTCAATGGCATCAGTGGATTTCACAACCAAGTGTTCTTTCAACATGTTGGCACTCATGTTTGTGACTCTTGGCTTGTGGGGTGGTGTTAGAGCTGCACCACAAGTGCCTTGTTACTTCATTTTTGGTGATTCTTTGGTTGATAATGGCAACAACAACCAGCTCCAATCTTTGGCTAGAGCTGATTACCTTCCTTATGGGATTGACTTCCCTGGTGGACCTTCTGGAAGGTTTTCCAATGGGAAGACCACCGTTGATGCAATTGGTGAGCATGCACTTTCTTTATTAATTAGCTTATAAATATTAATTGCATTGCACCTTAGCACAAATTCACGTCAATTATGCTAGCTGTTAATAACCCCACAGAACATTTGTATGGGATCTTATACTAACTTCACATTATGCATGCATATGTAATTATTATTATTGTCAAAATCATAGTGATAACTAGAATCAATGACAATTGACTATAAAATGCTCCCAAAATATATTTCCGAGCCTTTATCCAAGGGTTTATACGGTTTTATTGATAAATTAGTTTTTGTATCTTTTGCTCTACCAATTTTTTCAACCGCTTAGGTAAGTATAACTAAAAGCAGCTAAATTCTGTATGCAACTATGCATGCATCCATTTTCTACGGTGTAATGCATCAAAGATGACCATTAATATGTTGTATGAATGACAAGCTGTATCACGCTAAATTCAAACAATAATCGTCTTCCACCAACTGTTTTAGCTAGAAGGAAAGGCTATGGTGTAATTAAGAAGCATCAGTTTTCTTACGGGTGAAAATAAAAAAGGAGTAACATGCAGATGTCAGTGAAGAAAACAGAACTAGAACACTGTTGTTGGCACTACTCTCTCAGTTACTCTTTATAAGGTGTGTGACTGGGCCTTAAATTCCATGCACATGGGTCTGTTTGGGGGCATTAAGTACGGAAAATTATGATATTCTGATCTAGTTCTTTGACAAAGAGGTACAAGTACAAAAAAAGGAAGTGCACCATGGGGAAAATTTTACTGCATGCCAGATCCTTATATTTACAAGTATTGATTTGGTAAAAACAAACACGAAATGTTCTGATACATAGCTTGTAAGCACGTAGAGAACTTCTACACTTGTTTAACTTCGTGTTGAAATTTAACAGCTGAACTTTTGGGGTTCAATGATTACATACCTGCCTATGCTGATGCTAGTGGCGATGACATACTCAAAGGAGTCAATTATGCATCTGCTGCAGCTGGCATTAGAGAGGAAACTGGCCAGCAACTGGTACTCATACATAGTTTCATTAATTTTGATTCATTGAACATCACTTTTTTTAATATTAATTTGTTAACCATTTGGTATTGATGTTCTGAAATTGTTCATATGTATTGTAGGGAGGGCGCATTAGTTTTAGTGGGCAGGTGCAAAATTACCAAAGCACAGTATCCCAGGTGGTAAATTTACTGGGAAATGAGGATTCAGCTGCAAACTACTTGAGCAAGTGTATTTATTCAATTGGGTTGGGTAGCAACGATTACCTGAACAATTATTTCATGCCTCAATTCTATTCCAGCAGCAGACAGTACACAACAGAACAGTATGCTGATGTTCTCATTGAAGCATATACTGAACAACTGAAAGTTAGTCCCTAGCTCTCGTTCTCTTTTAGCACCTCCTTTTCCTCATGATCAATTATTCTATTACAAGTAACCATTTATTTTTTTGTCATTAATTCAGACACTGTATAATTATGGAGCAAGGAAAATGGTATTGTTTGGATTAGGCCAAATAGGTTGCAGCCCAAACGAGTTGGCCCAAAACAGCCCAGATGGTAGAACATGTGTGGAAAGAATCAATGCTGCAAACCAAATATTCAACAACAGATTGAAATCTCTAACTGATCAGCTTAACACCCAGTTGCCTGATTCAAGAGTTATCTACATAAACGCTTATGGTATCTTTCAAGATGTTATAAGCAACCCTGAAGCCTATGGTAATTATATTCTAACAAAATCATTTTTTAGTTTTGATTTTTAGTCACTTTTTTGAGAATCAAATAACTCATTTCTTTTGACATAAATATTCAGGTTTCAGAGTGACAAATGCTGGGTGCTGTGGAGTGGGAAGGAACAATGGCCAAATTACATGTTTGCCAATGCAAACACCATGCGAAAACCGGAGAGAGTACTTGTTTTGGGATGCTTTTCATCCAACTGAGGCTGGCAATGTTATTGTCGGTCAGAGAGCTTACAGAGCTCAATCTCCATCTGATGCTTACCCCATTGATATCCAACGCTTAGCTCAAATCTAATATGTAAACATGGTCTAGTTGGTAGTGATCATAACTAAGGTGTGCCACTACCACAATTAAAAATGTTCTTGAAATGTGTTGTTTCTTTTAAGGCGTAAGAGCTTTGAATTTTCTCTCTTTTTGTTACATATTCTTATATGCTAAATGTTCATGAGTTCACAAGTACAGGTGTAATTTGTGGTGAAGTTTTGGAAGATTGCATATTGATAATGGCGAATAATATATGTTGTTTTGCCTGATTGATGCTCCTTGTTAAAGTTTCTGCCAACATTATTTAGGGATACAACATTTGTCACGGACTGTTTGCATTAAAAATTCCGAAAGTATTATATACATTAAGGTGGCTGGATACTATCTATGATTATATCTGTATGAATTGCAGTAACTAAAATGAAATAGTTATTGCAGAAAAAAGTCTCATAACTTAATAATAATAATAATAAAATATAACTCTTAAAAATTTTCTCATTCCAAAGTAGCTACTCAAGATGTTTTGAAGTCTGATTCCTTCAAAGCGCTCTGGCCGATGCTTGATTGATGCCGAATTCCTTTGAAAACACGAACGAGTAGCTTGCAAGTATATAAGACGAGTATTGTAAAAAAAAAAAATAACATAGTTTTCGGAGGGCAAAAATATGGTATTTCAAGTTAGAATTGGAGTTGGATTTTTGAGGGAAAGATAAAATTTTTATTTTTAAATTTTTAAAATTTTTTAAAATAAAAATTATAAAATGATAGATTTATATAAATTTAATGTGTTAATTTTTATTAATTTTTAATAAACAATTAGAATATATATTTTTTCTCTAAAATTCAAGTTCTACGCATAAGAGGTAACCCTGTGTTGACTGATAATGGTGAGTATGTGCAGCTTTGAGCTCCACGGCCTTCACAATCCACATTGGGCTGCTCTCAACCATATTTTTATTCAAATATTTCACAAACTACCAAGTTGAAGTATCTAAATTAATCTAACAACTCATGTAATTAAATTCAAGTCTGGGGTTTAGGAAAAAAAAAATCAATTCTGGGGGTATCTATTTAAATTCAAACATTACCTTTGAGTTGTTTATGATTTTTTGCAAAAATTAAAATTCTAAGGGACGTTATTCTATGCTTAATTACAGGGTCTCCCGTTTTACTTTCTTATATATTTAGCTAAAGTTTTTAGTTTTTTCATCCTCAAATTCTTTATTTAAAAGATGCAGATGTTTTTTCAAATAAATAATTTTTAGTAGTAATGTGTAGTAGAATTTAAATAATATTTATGTCATTATTTAATTACAAAAATTATGGCAAAGATGTTAAGAATTTAATCTATTATGTGTCTGGGATTGGGACATTTTAGCACAAGCAAGTTGACTCTGCATGTTGTACTTTTGTCCTTTCACTTTTAGTTTCTGAAAACTTGAGATTGTTGAATAGTTCCATTCTCATAGCAAGTTGAACTTCTAGTTAAACTGCCTTTTGTTATGTTGGCTCTAGTCATTTATACAATAGCATGTACATAAAATCCTTTTACTAAAATTAATACATTGCCTCCAAGCCGGCCTAATATAAATACAGGTTTAAATTTAATTATAAGATAGTTTTTTAAAATAATTAATATATATTTTTATTTAAAAGATGAACCTATTTTATAAACAAAAAAATTATAATAATTTATATTATCAATCTAACCATTAATTCTTGTAAATTAGTGGAGCAACAAAGTCTTTTAATTAATATTTAAAGTATGTAAAATTTTCTAACTTTAATTTTCTTTATATAAATTTTTAAATTAAGTGGAATTAACTATTGATAAAAAAATTATTAGAAATATTATTTTATTAAATTCAACATCAAAATATCATTTAATATTGACTTTATATATTGAAGCCTTAAAAAAGGAGGCCTAAAGCATGTGCCTTAGTGACCTCTCCCTTAAGATGGCTTTCCAATGTATCACAAAAATATTGCAACAAATTTCTCCATAAAATTAGGTCATACCTTCCTCTTCTGGTTCTTCTATCTTTCTATATATATTCAGTTACACTTTGTGTGCTTGGACTCCAAATATTTTGGATCCGATTAAACTTTAATTAGCTTCTTCATATTTTTTCTTTGACATGGATTGTGAAACTAAAATATGGTTGATGGTGTTGTTTTTCTTCAGTGCAATATACAAGCAACAATGTGCTCTTGGAGAGCCTCAAGTACCTTGTCTTTTCATTTTTGGAGACTCTTTATCTGATAGTGGAAACAACAACAAACTATCTACTGATGCAAAAGTTAATTACTTGCCTTATGGGATTGATTTTCCAGATGGCCCCACTGGAAGATTCACTAATGGCCGCACTTCAGTTGATATAATCAGTAATAGTTTCTCCCATATCTCTCTTACATGGGCTTAGCATTCAAATGTTATATTTGATGATCCTAGATTTTAATTGTTGAGATATTGTAACTGTTCATAGTTTTAGTTTCTTGCAAAAAATGGAAAGAACATTTTTAAATGAATGAAGTAATCAACACTTAAGACTAAAATAAAAAATTATTTTTAAAAATTTATTATAAAATTTTTGAAAATGGGTTATGAAACATTATTTGTTTTTGCTTTATCTTTTATATGTCATTTTTCAGCTAATTTTTTTTTTTATTGAACTTAAAAATGTGTTATTGTAGCTCAACTTCTGGGATTAGACGATTTTATCCCACCTTTTGCAAATAGCAGTTCTTCAGATATAGTCAGAGGAGTAAATTATGCATCGGGTGCAGCAGGAATTCGCAACGAGACTGGAACACATTTGGTATATGTCAAATTTTTTTTTTTACTGTAATTAATTATTTATTCATCATCTTCACCTTGAATTTGGTATTTAGCCAACTTACTTGCTTTGTGAGATCAATGTATCATTTGTTTCATGCATGTTGAATTTAGGGGCAGATTTATTTAACATGAGGTTGTTCAACGGAGAAGAGAATAATTTAGAGAGAATGTAGAGAGCAAAAATGGTTTTCTATTTAGTATTTTCATTATGCAAAAGACATATATATATGTGGGTCTTCACTTATGTTATTTTCGAGACTGAGTCAATGAGAGGAACTTCCTAAGTATTGATTCTTATGAACACGCTGTGCACAAAACAATAATATGTGACACATCAATTGCACATAATTTGATCATTGCATGCTTTGTCCCTTTTTAAAATCACATCACAGATAATTTGTTTACTTAATTTACGGTCGCAGGGCGAGGATGTTAGCATGGAACTACAATTACAAAATCACAAAGTCATAATTTCTCAAATCGCTAAGAAACTTGGAAGTTCTGAGCAAGCACAACCCCACCTAAACAAGTGTTTATATTATGTGAACATAGGCAGCAATGATTACTTAAACAATTATTTCTTGCCAGAGCATTACCCATCAAGCCGAATGTATTCTCCTGACCAGTATGCTGGGGCTCTTGTCCAACAATATTCAATGCATTTAAAGGTATTTATACTTTTAGAAAGTTACTCAACAATTATATGATTTATAATTCGATTTTTTCAATAAGTGTGTAAGAGTACATGTTAAGAAATAAAGAAAATAAATTTTTTTTTTATTAAAAGTTATAATATTTAAATATATTATTATTTTTAATAAAAATTTATTATGTATGTATTATTATTGTGTCTTTTAGTGCACATTAAAAACTGTTTATATTATAATCATGCATCACCTATCTACTATTTACCATTTTTTATATGTGTAGGATTTATATCTACTTGGAGCGAGAAAGTTTGCTTTGATTGGGTTGAGCCTTCTAGGCTGCGTTCCACATGAAATTGTTGTTCACGGGAAAAATGGGTCAATATGTGTTGATGAGGAGAGTAAAGCAGCACTCATTTTTAACGACAAGCTTAAAACCCTAGTTGATCGATTCAATAATGAATTATCTGATGCCAAATTTATCTTCATTAACAGTGCTGTGATCACAGACACTAACCTGTTACCAGGTAAACAAATTTTTCTTCTTATAAAGCGAATGTTTGACATGCCTTGTCAGTCACTGTATGGTTTTGTATAATTTAAAAAGTAAAATCTTGCAGCATAAGTAATTATTTCTCTAAATTAAGCTAAATCAAACGTGCTTTAATTAATTTAATATGGCTTTCTCCAACTTGACATTTCCTTGCACAATATCTTGTAATATGTATTTTTGTTTCCTACAATCTGTACTTCTTAATATGTTATACCATGTTAATGCAAGTATGACTTTAAAATATGAAAATTAACTAGAGATATTGTTTATTAAACATTTAGTTTGGTGGCACTATATGGATTTCAGATGCTTTTATATGCTGCAAAGTGGGGTCAAATGGGCAGTGTACCCCAAATCAGGAGCCATGCAAGAACAGAAACCTACACCCTTTTTTCGATGAATTTCATCCTACTGAGATAGTCAATCAAGTTACTGCAAGAAGTGCTTATAATGCTCCCATTCCAGACTACGCGCATCCAATGGATATAAGTCATCTTGTTAAGTTATAAAGAAGATGGAAACTCGTCTCTTTCACCCATATTTATTTACTGATGTATTCAAACAGAAGTTTCAAATTTTTGCCAGAACTTCTAATGATATCAGAGCCGAATGTGATTGCAATCAATTATTAAAAATTGTGGTATTACATCTCTTTTTGTACATATTTGTGATCTTTTGTTCCAGATAAATTTCTTTATTATAGTTAGCATGGTTGTTAATTTGTTTCAAATTTATGGTCTCTTGAGTTGAGAATAATGATGATTGAATTTGCATCTACATAAATCAGAGTTGACAAGGGCCATTAACCCTCAAGTCAGTGAGAAAGATCCAATATCATTCATAATTATTATCTCACATATTAGCTTCTGTAACATAAATTATAAGTAATTTATTTAAAACTATATAAAGCACAAAATCTCACATTAACTAGCACAATTTTCTAGCTTAAAATCCTATATGATGACTAACAGTAACAAGTGAAAGGTTTTTGTATGAATAAGCTCTAGAAAACACTCAGTGGAATAAAAAAATATTGCACAGCAGGGATATATTGCACCACAAATTTTTTGCCTAAAGATAAGCTGAGTAGGATAGTCATAATAACATTTCTCAACTCGCTTATCTTCATGTGATCCTTCTAGAGCAGATTAATATGTGGATATTGAAGGAACAAATTTTTGCCATAAAGAATGCAAGCAGTAAGATTACATGGGTATGGCGAGGGCAATGAGGAGTGTGGCTATTTAAACTAATCGTACTAAAGAACAGTTGCATATAGGTAAGATCTTGAATCATAGTAAGTGAAAGTAACTAGATATAGATCTCCGTATTCATAGAGTTTAATTATACATACTAAACAGATCATAGAACCTTTAATGATAGATACAGGGTGGCTTATGAAAGTCCACAAAGCCACAACAAAACCAGAGTTATGCATACTATTTTAGGCTTTAGCATTTATCTCCTATAATATCATACTAAATGTCAAAATACAAATAGTAGAAAATCTACATCTTTTCCCTTCTCAAGCACAATCTCTTCAGCTGCACAAGAAAACAAGATCAAAGAACACTATTAGAATTTATGTTAGCTTGTTCCAAATATAGTGAGTCAAGTCTCCCTTGTACACACATTTCTTTTGCAATAACTATAGATTTAAACATTCGGGAATCAAAAACAATTATATATTATAAAGTTATAGAATGAATGTGAAGCTTACACAAATTGAAGGGACGTGTGGTCTTGCCTGGCATAGTGATTATTGGGTTGTAATCCAGTAACTTGGAAGTAGCCACGAGAGTCAAACTGAGATTGCATGGATTCATAGTTTGTGCCTCCAGGTAACACGTTATCGTTGTGGTGGCTCCTCTCACTTTCTGCTATCTACACTCTCATAAACAAAAAAACTATGATTGATGATAAAGTTACAAATTTTACATACGTAGAAAACATGTGAAGAGTGACACTGACAGACCTTTGCTCTAAGAAGCTGGTTATTATTCTGCAAGTCTATCTCCTGTAATGTACATTTTAGTTACCACATATACTTTGAATTGTAGAAGAAATCTTGTATACATACCCAAAATAAAAAATTAAAATTGAAGGCACCTATAAATTAATTTCACTTATTCAGAAGAGAATATGAATGGAAGGACATAGTTTCAGCCAATGTTCCATAGGGGAATTTTACGAATTGTCCAACTAAACCATATGTAATATGGCTATGCAAGCCTGTATGAGTGTATCATGCAGATTTCACCTTCTAATTACTGTGTGATGTAAGCTATGGAATTCATCAATCTTCAATTCCTTACATGTCACAAGGTGAAAAAGTGTTTTATTTGAGTTTAATACCTTCAGTGTATTGTGGATTTAAACATTTTTATACTGATAATTAATTAGAATATACTGTAAAATATATTTTTTATATTAATTATACAAAAATTAAGAATTCTAATTGATATATTTTCTTTTTTCTTTTTAAATTCAAAAGATAGATATTTAAGATTAATAGATAAAATTATAATTACTGATTTTTTATTTTTAAAATTACAACAAAAATCTCTAAATTAATAACAGCGGATGAGTTTAGCCTTTTAAGTAGAATTTATATAAATTTGATCTTTGATTTTTATAAATATTAATAAATTTAATCCTTATGTCAAACAATAACTTCATCAATAATTATCAAATTTAAAGATTAAATTGATTGTGGTGATAATATTTAAAATGAAAATAAACAATAATGTAATATAATAAATAAAATATTTATAATTATTAAATTTAAGATTAAAATTTTCTTTTTCAAAAGGTAAGTGACATCAATCAATAAAACTTTGGGACTAATGTAACTAAAATATTCATTTGAATTTATTTTTTAAAGAATTATTTACAGTCAAAATATTAAAATAAATATTTGTTTAAAAAGTTAACACAAAATAAAGGAAATTAAATATATTTATGTTCTTATAAACACATATTTAGAAATCAATAACCAAACCAATCAAGTTCGACACGATGACAAAGTCAAACAAATGCAAAACTTTGACTTGAAAAATTAGAAAGGAGTGAGTACAAGGAAAACATTTACCCTCTTTTGCATGTACTCAATTTCTGCAAATAGCAACTCATTCTGATGCAGTTGTTGATAGCACAAACAAAGGAAGAAGGACAAAATTAGATAAACACATTAGTAAACTAATATATCATTTCATCTGTTCTTTTGAAAATTAGAAAAAGAAACTTGTTATTATAAAATATACCTTTTTAGAACGAATTCTGCTAATTCCTTTTTCTAATTTAGTCTCCAGGTTTTTGAGGTCCTTGGCATTAATATTACTCAAAGTCTCACCCATCATTTGCCTGTGATTCAAAATATTTTTATTAAAGGTACTAAAATTTTCTATTATACCATTTATATAATGCAATAAATGAATAAAGACAGAAAATAGAAAATGAGTTTTGAGATAATAATTATACCTTAAAATTATAAAAATGATCATTTTTTAAAAATAAAATAAAATTGGTCAAAGAGACTCAAATTAGAAAGAGAAGGAGTAATTAATGATAAAATTAAATTAAAATGCTTGAAAGCCCTTCATATGCTTTGGTTTTATTTTTCAACTATTCTTTTTTCAGTGAAACTTCTCTTGTCTTAATTCTAGTACATGAAAGACTAATTTAACTTGCCTGTTGTGATTTTGTAGATTGCTGATTTGCACTCGCAATTTGGCAGCTTCTTGCTGATAAAACTGAGATTATGCAAACATATACATAGTTAAGAGGGTTAGTTTATTTATTGCAATCACATTCAAATTCCTTTTCTGCAAGATGTTTATTATGTCTATCATTATTTTAATTAGTTTTAAATACATGCTGACAGAAGCTGGTCAATTTGATAGATTCAGTTTGACTCATCGAAAGAAAAAGAATACCTGAGCATTAGCCTCAGAAGCGGACTTGCCGTTAGATGAATCTGAACTTGCTTTCTTGTATCTCTCAATTGATGCTTTGACGCTGAAATAAAAATAGTATTATAAACAAGATCATGTTCATTGATATTAATGTGATAAGTAAATAATTTGTCAATAACATTGAATAAATGGCTTGTTATTATATTTCATGAAAGAACATTAATTGCTAAATTCATCATTAATGGATATACTTATAAAAATAAGTGTTTTTTTTATTCCTGCTCACCAATCAACAAAGCTACCACTCTTATCCATTTAAGTTTTGTTTTCTTTGCTGAGGGATATAATTGAATCTATAGTCATCGAATAAATGGCTTATAGGCTGCTTTATAAATTTGTAATCTTCCTTATTAGGATAATTACATCGAATGTTTGTAGGCTTCGTGGGATAAATTAACCGTTGCAACTTATTTGATTATAAAAAAAACTGTGAATTCTGGCAAATTAAGGGTCTATTAAAAAATTATAAATTATTTTTATTTTATTTCAATAACCTTTCTACGATCTTTTTTTTTTTTTTTTTTTTTATCAATGTAAGCTATTTTCATTTTATCCTAATGTTATAATATAAGTTATAACTTTAAAAATTTATTAAATAAATAATGTATTAAATGCATCTTAATTCATGAGTACCCGAAATCATAATTAAGGTATTTTGTTTATTAATTAAATTAATAGTGTTTTGATCTCTCAACCCATCTCATTTAATTAATCTCAATTATTTATTTTTATCTTACATCTATTTTTTCATATATCATATCATTTATCATTTTTATCTTACATCTATTTTATTGTATAGCTATGAAATTATTAGGCGCTTATGATTTGTAATTGTTAAAATATATGGTGAATTTATAGAATGCTAATATAAATAATTAGTAAAGAAATTAGCTGTTAAATTCTAAAAATTCACAATTAATAACCTGAATTTTATAAATGCAAGCCTAAATATTAGTTACATTTCAATATTATCATTTCAGCCTTTTACTCTAAAAAAATATATCAATTTGTCTTCCAATAAGACTAAAAAGAAACGAAATAGAAAATGAGAAGAGGAATTGGTTCAATCAATCTGAGATAAAGCACAGGATTGGCATAGGTCAAATCATCTAACTGGTTCAGTTGAAAGAACCTTAAACGCAATTCTTGACAAAACCAAACATCAAATGATCTCATTACTCAGAAATCTCAATGTGTCAAGTCTGATTTGATGTGATAAAAATAAAATGTTAAATAAATAAAGGAAAATTAGGGATTAAGGAAAAAACTTTTCAGAATCTGCAATCCCCGTCTGATACCTTAATATCCTCGAGCCACTGATTGGCTACTGCTGCCACGCTACCACAGGTTCCAACAATATGATTGGTTCAACCATTTCTAGACCTATTTTTTTCTCTGCAGCTTAGGGGAAACTCATGCTACACTGGATAATGCTCTCAATCCCACTCCATTGCCCACCTCGATTTTAACCCTCAAAACTAAAAAACTACAAATAATCCATTTGGTGCAAGCTTTTTAAGTCACGTGTTTTGAATAGTTTTTATAAAAGACAATTCTATTTAAGTTAGAAAAAAAAATCAACATCATAATAGAATTAGTTCTTTCAATAGTTTTTTTTTTCATGTGTAAAATTTTATTTTATAGGGATCAAATATGTATGACATGAATCAATTTTAGTCACATTTGTTGAATAAAATAGTATATATGTTTTTCATAAAGTTTTGTGTCTGAAAATGTATGTACATGAGAGCCGTTGATTTCAGATACTGCAATGGGAGGAAGCAGCAGTAATAGTTGCATGGAAGAAGCCAAAAGGGTCAGAGTCTCTGATTGTGGTACGTTGTCTCTGCCTCAATTTACCTCTCTCTCTCTCTCTCTCTCTCTCTCGCTCATTCAGCCTAGAAAACCCTTTTCCTTCTTTTTTTTTCTCAGTCTAAAACTTTCATGAATATGTAAGTGGTGCAAGATCTTTGGCAAATGCAAAGCCCAGTGTGGTAGCAGTTATATTATGATAAGCCAAGTTTAGTCCCTCTCATTTCTTCATCACTTTCTCTTTCACTGTCTTTTGCTGTTTTTCACCTTTTTATGTGTAAAAGAAGTTTTTACTCTATGCTCAAGAGAAAGAGAGATTTTCCCTTGTAGAAGTATCCAACATTAGGGTTCAGATGGAAGAGTTCAACATACATATACCCAAGAATGACATAGTTAAACTTTTATTAAAAGTCAAGAACTGAAAAATCACGTGTGACGTGACCAAAGATTCTTTCAACCAAGACAAACAAATCCTACTCCTTAAACCCCTAACCACAGTTACCAAAACTTTATTTCCTAAAACGGGGAAAATCAACGAGTGACATGTTGTGACTCATTTGACACCATTTTTTACTATTTTTCAAGTTTTGTTTGGAGAGAGAAAAAAACGGTTTCTTTCTTCTTTTTTTATATATATTAGTGGTGCCCAAATCCTGTTTTAGTTGCTTATCAAACCCTAATTTCTAGGGTTATTTTTAATTTAGCCTGAGATCTTGCAACTGGGTGTCAGTCTCTGATTTTATTTTATTGCGATGGGTTAAAAAAAAAGAAAGAAAGATTTTTTCTGCATAATCTGCGAGGAAAGTATTGGGCTTCTACAAACCCTAAAAAAGTGACATTTTTTAGTTTGTTCATTTCAATTTTAACTCGTTGACAATTTGTTGAAACAGTACTTTATTAACTAACTTGCTATTAAGGAAGTGAAAAGGAATTAAGAGGATTAGACTAATGGAAACATGACAGCTTTTATTTAGGCCCTCTAAGCTTTTAGATGGGTAAAGAAAGAGAGAGAAGGAGGGGAGTGATAGAAGGGAAAAGAGCAAAAGGGAAAAGAGAAAGTTGAAGAAGATGGAGTTAGGGATTGGCTGATCTCACAGGCCTTCATAACATCCCAACTCCTTTCCTGTTGTGTTGCTACTAACAACCACAGTGCCTCTGTATCTATCTGTTACACTTACACCAGATCTATGTGCCCACCAAATCAAGAACTAGGAAATTTGTCATAAACAAAAAGGAAAAGGAAGGAGAATGAAAATAAGACGCTCAGAGAAGGAAAATGGCCAAAATAAAAGAAACAAAGACAAGTGAATCTTGGTTACAGAAAACAGACAAAGAAAGTGAAAAAAATAAACTTAATCATACACAAAAATGGTTAGGTTATTTGTGCTTCACTCCTGCAAAAGGATCTATTTGCATGGGCAAAAGAAAATATAAATTCAGTGTTCCCAATACTGAAAAATTAACAAAGTGAAAAATAAATATAAAATATGGGGAAAATCACAAGAAGTTTGTGAAGAGGAGAAAAACATATATAGGTACCTGTTATTTGCATATTCATAGAGGCGGCCACGGCTTGAAAAGACTATTAGAGCAACCTCTGCATCACAAAGAACAGATAACTCATATGCCTTCTTGAGCAAGCCATTTCTGCGCTTGCAGAAGGTTACTTGACGATTGGTGGTGTTCTCAATCCGCTTGATCTCAATCTTTCCCCTTCCCATCCTTCTCTGTGGTGAAACTGATGACATGGATTGGTTTGGAAAAGCCATGGTTGCGAGCTGAATCAAGTCAAAAAGATCATCTTATTTTCCTCACAAATAAAAAATAAAAAAGAGTATATCTTTACCAAAGCCATGACCAAATTCAGGTCTTTAAGCTATTTCTTGGGAATAATCTGAAAAGGAAAGAACAAGAAAAGGAAACTTAATTGGAAAAGCCTCTTCAACCCTCAAGCCCCCAACCCAACAGTTAAATCATTAGCTATATATATATATATATATATAGCTCCAAAGTTTCATTTTCTTGTAATAGTCACAGTCTAGTTGTGTTGAAAAATCTGGGTTTCAAGTGAAAATGTTTGATGAACCCCCAAAAGAAGTAAAGCATTGAGAAAGGATTTCAAATGATGTTTCAGTATTTTGCTCACTAACCTGGTGAGGAAACAAAATGGAGAAGTTGTACTAAGCACAGGAGAACAGGTTTCACCCTTTGATGTACTTATATATAAATTTTTCTCTCTTCTTTTCCACTTAGAAGAACAGGCAGGAGATACCAGAAAGTGGAAGCAAAGTGCCCAAAGATGGATATTTATAAAGTGAAAAACAACCTTTCTTCCATGGTGGTTTTATGCATCTTAAACAACATATATGCTCATCTGCATATCTTTATATATTTTATTCAGTATTCACTTTTCTTTGTACCTTATATATTCATTTTATAATATTGATTTTTAGACTCTCCTTCAGTGCAAATATCTACTTGATTTTTTTTATTTTTTTAATGATTTTTTATATCATACTATCTATCATATTTATTATATATATATTTTTAATTCCAATTCCTTTTAATTAAGTAAAATTTATTTTCCCTCTACTCACCAACTGGTGGAGGTGAATCAAATTCAAGAGCATGATAAAGCAGGAATAACCTTTCGAATTGACCTTCCTTAATTAAATTTCCTTTTCCATTTTGAAAATTTATGACAAGTGAATGAAGTAGGGCATGAGAGAGAGAGAGAGGTCTGAAAACTATTATTAATGGGGTGAAAGGGACGTTGAGCCAATTGCAAACTTAGTGCAAGTGGTATTCCATAGTATGATTCAGAGGAACCTCTTTTTCTCGTGTAGATGAGCATATTTCCTTCTAGAATTACCTGTCTTGTGTAGAACATCGATATTTTTTAGTTTAAATTCTAAACATATATACTAAAAAAGATAATATGTTAAAAAAAATGCATAATTAGATTAAAAGAGAGCTTAGATTTAATATTAATAAAAGGGCGAGGTTATAATAAATTTTGAAAAAGAGTAACATAAGTAACAATTAAACCGATATAAAATAAATGTACTCTAATTTAATAGGTAGAGATGTAGTTTTCAATGGACAAAAGAAAAAGCAATGGAAGAAGAATTTTACTTTAACTTCTATGCGTATTTAATTGATCATGTTCCAAAATTTCCATTTTGGGTATGCTACAAGCGTCAAACAATTCCCATTCCTCCGAGTATTGTATTAACTTTTCTAACAAACTAACAATCATAAACTATGTGGTTTTATTCTTTTTAGTCCTTTTTGAATGTTCTATCTTTCTAATGAATGCCGTTAAAGGGTTAATCCTTTCCCTTGTGTTTAATCTTGGGATTGAATTATATACTGTGGACTCTTTGGACTTTGGCAGCATAATGTACCTCTTGGTGGTGACTCAAAGTTTGAAGGCGACTGCTATGTGACAACCTTATCTTATTTCATCTCCTCACCATGCTTCTGCTGCTGCTGCTGCTGCTTTGCTGACATGCAAGGTAGGTCACCCTTGTTTATAATTATAATATATATGCATGCTCCATTTAAAATTCTCAAAAAAATTTAAACAATATTTTCAAGAATGTGTATTCATATTATATAAACAAAAATGGATAGTTTTGTTATGCTGGTTATATAATTTTGATGGTTTTTTTTAATTAATTTCATTATCTATGTACCAAACTGTGTAATGATTTATTAGAAAACTATTCCATCTTAAAGCTTGAATAGTAGACTAGCAACTTGATTGTACAAGATTGAGGATTCTATTTACATGAATTACAATGCAAATTTTGTAAGAAGTGTTTTTTTTTTTAATCATGTAAAAGTGAACTTAACTTGCCTATTCAAACTGGCCCTAGGATTCTAAATTAGATTTTTATTCAATGAAACCATATCATTTTAATTATACGTTGATCTTAGCTACACGATTCACTTCCTTTACAGTGTACGGTTAAGAGTTTGGTACCTAGAAAAGTGTTTTTTAATAAATATTTATAGATAATTAAAATAAAGAAGTAAAATTAATTAAATTTTTTTATAAATTAAAATAAGTTTATGTTCTTTTATTTTTTATTTTTTATAAAGCTTAAAATGTATAAATTAATTTTAATGTATGAGAGAATTTTTATTTATTTATTTTTTTTCTTATAAATATGTACTTAAAAGTTTGTCAAAAATCAGTCTTGGTGCGTTTGGATGAACATTTGTAAATTTAAGTTAAACATATTGACCCAATAATTAAAACACTTATATTTATTCAACACGATTGTAGATGCAATTATATTTATTCAACTACTTATGCAACGCCCACATAATTCACTTGATTGGACATAGCAAGGGAAATTGTCTAGTGAGTGAGTAGTGGGTACACTTAGGCCTATTCATAGATTGTGGCACGGGACACCTATTCATGCATGTTGCCATGTAACATTGACATGCCATTACATAGCAAGTACTTGTTATATGTTAGTGATTAAAATGTGTTTACCGTAATGAAATATTGATGTTTATTAAAGAACAATATTGATATATCTAAGTTTTGTTCAATTATTTATTTATTTATTTTCTTCTCCTCTTGTTTACTTCAATGTTTTAGGTCTACCTAAGTTGTTTGTGTAGACTACAGTGATTATGCTTACGGCTTGATTTAGTTGTTAAAGATTTTAAGTTATTGCAGCCATGGTTATTAATCATTATGTTCCCACTTTTATATAAATATATGAAGGTCTCTTGCTAATTATAACTCTAAAACAATAAAAAATAATAATATAGATATATTAATAGCATCTTTAATAAAATTATTTTGATTTTAAAATTATATTCCCAAAAATACTTTTTAGCATTATAACAATGGCAGTTCAACTAACGTGCCACACTCCATATGATCGACGAATTAAATTTTAAAGGTTTTTTTTGACACTTAAATTGGACATGAGAGAATTATTTGATTCATAAAAGAAACATAAAGAAATATTTAGAACCACTGTTTTCTATGTGAAATTAGTTTACAGATTTTATTTAGAAACTGAGTGAAGAAAAACAAAAACAAATAACGTGGCTACCAACAACGTTAATACATGTAAGTGCCTTTGATCAGTAATATAAATATAAAAATTGTATATTCTAAAAATTTTAGTCTTGAAGACTTTCTCATATCTATTTATTAGATTTTATATATTCCACACATGATTGTGGCTAACAAAACATAGCCTTACTCATATTTTCAAGCTACCTTATGAATTTTATCATTTATTTCAGCGAGGAAAAGAAAAATAGAGATAAAAATATAGATATGATTCATTTTCTTATAGTTGGTTGGAGAAAAAATTAATAAAAAATAGAGAAAAAAATTACTTTAAAAAAATTATCTTCTTCTATTTTTCTTGTTATAAATTGACTTGAAATAACTGTATAAAATTAATATGAGATATATAGAACATTGTTTTTAAAAATTATTTCCATGTAGTTGAAAATTTAAAATCAAAACTATCAAGGACTACCAGAAATATAATTTGTAATCCAATAAAACAAAAGAAAAATATTTTTGTATACTATTTTTCTAAAACATGTAAAACACTTCAACGACAGATTATAATGTTACGTGTAATTGTCTACACATATAAACGTATGTATAAGTGTTTGTATACATATAAAGTTGTGTTATTAGAAAAATAAGTAGTAATTACTCAACACTTCAGTTGTCTAACAAGTAGTAGGGACTCAACACTTCAACTGTCTCTGTCGATAGAGAATATAATTAGTATTGTCCATCCTTATAGACAAATAAAAGACTTTCAAAAATTTGACAACTGAAAGACTTCAAAAATTTTATTCAATTGAAATTTTTAAAATGACTTAGATATATAAAAAAAATTCAATCATTGAAATTAAATAAGTAAATAATTAAATTGAATTGGTTGAATAGTAATAAGAAAATAGAATATTAACTCTAATTTTTTATTTATTTTTGAATTAACCGATCAACTTGCTCTGTTATTGAATATTTATTTTTTATTTTAAAATTATTCAAAAAATATATTTTTTTTATATGAAAATAAATCCTAATACATCTGGTCTTGAAGTTTTTGCACTTGAAAAAAAATCTAGAAGTATTGTCCAAATAATTAATGCAGTACTAGATGTAGACAATTTTTTCAAAATAAATAATAATTAATAAATTATTTTGAAATATAATTATAGTTTTTTCAATATTTCTTTAATTTAAATTTCAATCTTTTTATCATTTTTTTTTTTCTACAAGAACCAAATCGAATTATAAGCTAGCCTATTAGTTAATTTCACCGAACATAGTCTTAGTCAAAGTTGACTGTGAAGCTTAATGTTAGAAAGAACTTCATTATTTTGATAATTTTTTACTCATAAAGTTTTGTTAAAACATACACTAAAATCTATCTTATAAAATAGCCACATATAAGTTAACACATTGTTGATTTTGTTAGTCTAGTTGGTCAGCCTAGGCCTAATAGGCTATTTAGTTTGAAAATGGCTGAAAATTTATATGATATCCATAAAACTGATTGTATCAGAGAATAAAAATGTTTTCTAGCTGTTCCTCTACCGTATGTTAATTTGTCTTCCTTGTGTTCCAGAGCGTTTGATGCATTTGAAACAACATTTCTAAAAAAGAAATTAAATTTTCCTTCAGCTCAAATCTCACTTGCAGTGAATCAGAGGCCAAACAAACCGTACTGGTCCTTTTCTATTAATAAAGCGAAATAACATTGAAGATCAACAAAAAGATAACTAAGCTAGACCAGTTAACATCTTTTTGTCTTCATCCCACTCTATGGTAGAGTTACTCAAGTTAAATAAAATTTAATTTCAATATACCTTAAAGACATTTAGTGCTATTTTTTAATTAAAGCTTCACTTTAGTAAATAGCATTGAACTTTAATATTTATCTTTAGAAAGTTTAAGATATATTTTACACATAAAGACGGTGTAATCGATCTATATCTATAAACAAATAAAATAATGGACAACAAAATTTTCAACATACATTACACATGATTAAAAAAAATTAATAAATAACAGTTTTTATTAAAAATTATAGTATCTAATAGTATCAATATATTAAATTTATAATTTTTAATAAAAATTTAATGTGTAACTTCTTATCATGTATGATGTTTTATATGTTAGAAAAATTGATAAGTAAATATATTAGTTATTTATTACTAAATCTACAATTTTTTTAATATAGAAGTTACTATAAAATACCATAAAAATCATCAAAAGAAAAGTGAATTTTTTTACTTTGAATATTTTGACTAGTGCTGTCCAATTTTTACCTCTTATTTCTTTGTTACCCTTTGCCTTTTGCTTTAAGCCTACAAATTGTTTTATGACGGATCCGAATTCAAAATTCAATGACCCAAAAAGATGTTAGAAGATAAACTGAGAGTCCTTTGTAGCCACTCCTTAGTTGCATGACAGAACTGGAAAAAGTTAAGTAGTTCTTTCTCTCACGATGGAAAGTTTATGGCCGTATTTGCATTAATGGAAAATTTGCCTATGATGCTTCTCTGCAGTGTAAAGTTTCGTTAGTGGTTCAGAGTTTTTAAAGAAGTTTATAACAGTTGTATAAACCGAAGTCCTAGTATCAATTATTTTATCACCTTATATCTAGAAGAAAACTGGAATAAGAAAAAAAATGCGATCTCTCTTGGGATTTGGAGTGCAGAAAATCTATCATTTTGCTGAACGTCATTCTCATTTACAGAACAATCCCATGCTATAGCATCCCTTTTATAATGCTTTCTAAAATGTGCATGCATTATTAATTCCCTAACACAAGTCTTCTTACTACTAGGCTTAAACATAGAAATCTAATAATCCCGCAAAACCATGAGACATTTAACTTCTGTTTGATGTTATTGTTATGGCTGGCATGCTCACCCTCGTAAAGAATCGTAGGAAATTGCTGCTAGCAATAACTCAGTCACGTGTTACAGCCATAAATTGGCAACTTTAATCACTGTTCTCGTATCCTAGAAAACAAGTCTCCCGAATACTGACATAGTATGAAAACTATAACTGGTCCTACTTAACTGAAACATGAATAGTGGTCTATGTGCACTGCGATCTTTTGAGAATAGCTTTACTCTGCTTTGTTTCACGCATAAGGATTAGTGCGTATTTCTTATTCATGTCACCCTGGCTGTGGTGGCAATATAGAAAAGTTAGAACAAGGTTGTTTTGATAATTAGTTAGTTCAGCTAAAAATCAAGGTATGAACCATAACTAGAATGAAACATAGATGAAACTAAAAATTACATAATAAAAGTAAATACACTAACATTAAGTTTTTATCTTTTCTTTTAAGAGAGATTTGTAGTATATTTATTTAGGCTCACCAATATAATTTTCTGTTAAAAACAATTCACCAAAGTGGCATGCAAGTCATAAATTGATTGCACAACTTAGACATGTATCACATCCTTGTCATAGGCTTTACTGTTATTTAAACAACTTATTTTGAACACACAGCACACTGATATGAACAAAGAAGACAAGTACACCAATAAAAAGAAGAGAAAAGAAAAAGTTGTGGATTTTGGCTTACACAACACAAAGGCTTGTTTGATTGAAAATGAGGAGCTAATTTGGATTAAGAGTGCATTCAGCAATTTTCTGCCAAGATTTGAGAGTTTTGTCTTCTGTGTCTGTTTTGTACAACGCAAGCTTGCTTATCTGAAAGCTCAACCCACTGAAGCTGTCATCAACAACATTAGCTCTCTCTTGAGCCTTTTGCTTCTCTTCCTCACTCAGGTCTCCATAGAGAAGGCTCAAGTGTGGCATATAAGCTGCACCAAACACAGAATTATGAAAGAGGTTTCAATTTTTAATGGATTAACGGTTTCAATTGAAGAACTTACGAGTGGAATTGGTGTAACCGAAATAGGAGGAGCAGTGCGCACTGGTTTGGAGGAGGTGAGGGTCGGGGTGAAGGAGGAGGTAAACGCACTGGTAGAAGAAGGTACCGGTGGCCACGCGCTCAACGCGCGCATGGAAAGGTTTGAGGGCTTCGCATGCCGATCGGAACTTGTTGAGGGCGTCGTCTTCGGTGAGGCTGATAGCTCCGACGACGGTGATGTGCGGTTCGAACTGGGGCCCGCCGAAATCGGATCGGAGGGAGGCCATGAGGTTGGTGAATCTGGCGCTCACGTCTTCCGGTGGAATCGCCCACACCGAATACATTGATTGGGTTGCCATTGCTAATCGAAATCCCTAATTCAGATCAGATTCAGATGATATTAAGATTTAGGAACAATTCTTGGCAAAGTGAATGTGAAAGGGATGGATGTGGCAAATGTCCAGCATATATCTTTTTATTTATTTATTCTCTCTGTCTGTCCATTTATTTAATACATAGGTGAGATTGTAATTTTTTATAAGATGCCGAGGTCTCTTGTTAAATTTATATCACAAGTTATAAAATATTTAAATTCTAATTACGGTTTCTTTTATAAAATACTCTAAAATATACTTTTTTCAGTGGAATCAAATCCAACAAAATAACACCCATTATTGCAAAAGTAAATTTAAAATATATTATATAATTAAATAAGAAAATTTTCTTATTATAAAAAAATGATTTCAAATTAAAACTTAAAAACATAAATGGCAAAGGTTATTTATTAAAACCAATTATATAACTAGAGAATTTAATTGTAGGTCAATCACAAAAGAAGCTGATGATTTGGTAAAAATTTTCTTTTCCCATATATCACTTGTGTCATACAGGTTAAAAGGTGAAATAGAATGAAAATTTCCTTTACATTTATAACTTATTAAAATATTGGTTAAAAAAAATGAAATTCTTCAATCACAAAATTTTTAATCGTTAATTTTATGTAATGAAATTTATAACGAATTTGTAGTGACTTGTGATCACAAATTTTTTAAATATGTTTTAACTATGAATTTGGTCCATAAAATACTAACTTAACTAGAAAAATTAATTGGTGAGATAAAATAATATGTATAAAAAAACTAAAGCTCTAACTTACAAATATATTAGTAAAATTTTATAATTTGTGACAGATTTTTGTAAAAATTTATCACTAGCTCTATTTACAATTAAAATTATAATTACTAGTTTTTTATTTTGAAATTATAAAAATAAATCTCTAATTTAATAATAGTTGAAGATAATTTTAGTTTATATCAATTTTATCTTTGATTTTTATAAATATTAAATATTAATCAATTTTGACGACGGTGATGTGCGGTTGGAATTGGGGCCCGCCGAAATCGCATTGGAAGGAGGCCATGAAGTTGGTGAATCTGGCGCTCAGGTCTTCCGGTGGAATCGCCCACACCGAATACATTGATTGAGTTGACATTGGAAGGAGGCCATGAAGTTGGCAACTTCTTATTTATAAATCTGAGCTTATGCAAAATGTTTAATGTGTCTATCATTCTTTTAATTAGTTTCAAGTACACATTGACAGAGACAGAATACATTGATAGATTCAATTTGGATGAATCTTTATTTTATGTCTCAGTTGATGACTTACTGATATTTTAAAATAGTAATACTTTTTCAAGTATTTTTTATAAGAAATAAAAAATTAAATTATTAAAAAAAATCATAATTAATATATCTTAAATTTATTATTTATTTCTTATAATAAGAACTAAGAAAATGTTTTTTGTTTGTTTCTTATAAAAAAGATTAGAGAAAATAATTTAAATATTTATATTTATAGATTAGCATTAATTATCTATTTAAAATATATATTTAAATTATTAATATTAATTACGATATTATTTATTAAATTTATATAAGACCAATTAAGAAATTAATTATTAAGAATCATCTAAAATTTTTTGCTACTGTACAAAAAAAAAAAAGGGGGTGATTAGTGACCTTTCCAAATTGTGTTAATCCATCTCTAAATTTAGGAATGAGTAGAACATGAACTAGAGCCTGTGGATTAATATCTCTATATGCTAGAACCTTTTCATCTTCGTATACAATGCTTGATGGGATTTCCTTTTTGATGATCTTATCAAATCTAGAAGAAAAAAAATAGAGACAGAATTACACAAATAAAGAAAAGAAACACAGCAAAATGATTAAGAAATAATATTGCTGGTGTCAGTGCATGTGTGTGTCCGTATGTCTATAATTATCAATAAAGAATTATGTTGTAAAAGCCTACCATTATTTATAATGTGTTGAGAGGGGTTTTATTGGCTCAGGTTATCCATTTAAGCATCATTCTCCAATTAATTAGAGGAACAACCAAAACAATAACCTTCTAGTCAGGAAAGATTATTACATGTATGGAAACTGTTACATCAACTACACGAGAAAGTTAATTTGATAAATAAATTAAATTTAAATATGTTGATAGAATAATTTTTTTATATCATTATTTAATTATAAATATTTACAGTAAAAAATTATATTAACTAGATTTCTTAATTTTTGTATTCATTAATATAAAAAATATACTTTACAGTATATTCTAATTAATTAACAATATAAAAATTTTAGACTCACGCTACACTGAAGTTTATCTCATGACATGTAAAGAATTGAAGATTGACCAATTCCATAGCTTCCATCACACAATAATTTCTCTATACTTAACCTCAAATTCAATAGCACACACGATTAGAGTGAAATCTGCATGATGGCATCCACTCATATAGCCTTGCATATCCATATTACATATAGTTTAATTGGACAATTAGTAAAACTCCCCTAACCCCATGACGAAATTAACTTTAGCTGAAACTATACCCTTCTACTCGTATTCCCTCCTGAATAAGTGAAATTAATTTATAGGTGTCTTCAATTTTAATTTTTTATTTTGGGTATGTATACAAGATTTCTTCTACACGTGGTAACTAAAATGTACATTACAGGAGATAGATTTGCCCAATAATAACCAGCGTAGAGCAAAAGTCTGTCACGGCCACTCTTCACATGTTTTCTAATACTCATGTACATTTGACAAATAACCAAAGTACAGCAGCAAACTAATATTTTACTCCCTAGATAATGATCATATTAAACCTTTATCTCACAATTCTTATTCCTCTTAATTGACACCTGTAACTGTAGGGCCTTGAGGCCTGTAATTGTACCTCCTTGAAACGAGCAAATAGACAAAGAAGTTGATCAAGCTCAATATGGCGAGGAGCAAATAGAACAAATTCAGATGGTTTCTGTTGATATTGTTTCCTGCTAACCAGCCTCCACTTGTAGTAATATTCTTGGTAGCTCTATTCACAATTTTGACCAATATAGAACTTAGAAAATAGCCAAGGGCCATAGAGCACCATAGGAAGCAAGTTGATGTAGATTTAAGTCCTTTTGGTGCCTCTGAATAGAAAAACTCAAGAAGCCCCACATAGGTGAACATGTCAGCTATGCCAAATACAAAGTACTGAAAAGAAAGCCAGAATATGCTCAAGGGCAATGGTTGAGCCACTGGAATGGCATCAAGCATGTTGTTGTCTCTGGCAACTCCTTTCCTTTTCACCTCTATGATTGCTGCAATTGCCATAGAGATGGAAGAGAGTATTAGGCCAACTCCAATGCGTTGCAAGTGTGTAATGCCACTTGGAATACCAGTGAATTTTCTTAGAAGAGACACACAAATGCGATCATAGAAAGGAATTATGAAGATTAGGAAGACAACTGGGATGATTGGTAGAGATGCTGGTGGGATGTTAAAATGCTTGGTGATTCTAGTGTTCATGGTGGAGCCTTGCTGAATAGAGAAGGTTTGAAGCTGTGCTAAACAAAGGGTCATTATAATTGTACAGCAGAATATTGGTACCATGCTTAAAATGATTTTGGCATTCTCTACTTGTGTAACTCTGCATAGTCTCCATGGGTTTGAAGCCTCAGGATTCACAGGGTGCACAACAGAGTTTCTTTGGATGGCTGCTCTATCCAAGAACCTGTGCAAAATCAATTGATGCATTGGAATTCGCTTGTAGTACTTAAGCTATGATCACCTGACGTGAACTTTTCAATAACAATTAATAAAAAATTAGAGTAAAATAAATTATTCTTTCGTAAGTTAAAAGCAACCTATACATGTTAATTTTTAGAAATGTTAAATCAAAGAGTGTCTACAAAAAATTAACATAAGTTGATTTTAAACAAGAATGATGTTAAACTTACTTACAAGTACTTAATAAAAAGTTTATCCAAACTATATTCTAGATACGAGTGGTATTAAACCTATAAATATCTCTATGAGGTAGATGCTCTATTTGCACAGCAGCTTCTTTGTCTTGTTCAATCTCGTATAATTCTACAGAATTTGCAGGTAGGGGAAGGTTTCTGTTGCGAATTGCCGCAACGTAGACCTGGAAAATAGATGCTAAAAAATTAAAACAAAGTGCCTGATCAATGCAATATAGAGCTTAAAAACTTCCGACTATTGACTCTGCTGGTAAAAAATAAAATACTTTTCAAATTCAAAGCGAAATCCTTTCTATTATTTCTCCCCAATATGTGAGAAAATTGAATTTAGGTAAATTTGTTTCCATGAGAATCTATCAATGATAAAACAAAAAAGAAGCAATTCTAACTTCAACACTGTTCTGTGTCAAAATTTATAAATGTAACAAGACAAAGTTATGTTTTATACTGTGCTTGTACAAGACAAGAAGAAGTAAAGTATAATTATAATTTAGACAAAACTTAGGTATAATTCCATAAATATCATTTACTAATAAAAATTAGAGCTTTATCTTCATAACTTGTACTAACAATGAATGTCAATATTTTATTAATGCGAAACCTTAATCTTAATTGATAACTAATAGTAATAACACTTAAAGAATAACATTTTAAAGGGTGTATACCTGTATGATCTCTATGATGGCATTTGTCCTATGTGCAACATGAATTCGGTAGAGTGGCAATCCAACGGCAAATATCATGATGCCCACAACAATAGAAATGGTGGAGATGCCAAAGCCCCAGTCCCATCCTATGTGGTCTTCTATCCAAACATTTAATGTTAAACTGACAGCACCACCAATGCAAAGTGCAAATAAGAGAAGGTTGAAGAAGGTAGACATTTGCATTGCTTCTTTGGGGTCTCTTTCATCAAACTGATCAGCACCATGTGATGGTAAGGAAGCTTTCACACCTCCACTCCCAAAGGCCGACATGTAAAGGCTAATGAAGAGAAATGCTTCATTGTTCCCACTAAGCTTTTCACAATGTGCACCTTTCACAAACACGTTGCAAAGTGGTGGCTTCAGGCTAGCCAAGTGTGCCTGTATTGCAAGCAATGCCAGTCCCTGTAACAAAAGTTCCCAACATACTCATGCTTTTCTCATTCCTTTTTTCTATTTAACAAATCTTTTCTATTTTCGATCTTTTAACATATACGTCAAATATATATCTATGTTTTAACATATCAAATCATTTATTATTATTTTATCATTGATACTATAATAGCATATTTTTTACTAGTTTGTTAAACAGTCAGATGATAAAAATCTTATTCAAGTTAACTAAAATGTAGGTGATGGATATGGATACAATATATAAGTACCTTGCAGGTAAAAATATGAGTGTTAAAATTATTATTAATGCAGATATGGGTCCAAATACAAGTACTTCTTTAAAATTACAGAGACGCATATTGTCAAAACATTATCCATTGTTATACGGTTTCTTTAGACGGGTGAAAAAAAAATATAAATAGATATATATTTTCTTTTATTTGATTAAAAAAATTTAAGAAAATAAATTTTATTTTTCTTATTTTTTCTTTTATTTAAATTTTAAAATTTCTCTATCCTTTTATTTTCTCTCCTCTAGCAAACAGGGGCAAGGGGGAGAGAAGGGGATCAATTCCACACACGCTTTGGGTTTCCAAGCCTCGTTGCTACTTCTAGGACCTTGGGTTCTCATCTGTTGTCTGCTTTTGGGATTTGTTGTCTTCCTTTTGGGCTACATCTGGCATAGGTCATGTTAACCATTAAAGGGTAATTAATATCATTTACCTTAGGAAAAGGGAAAATATCAAATAAGATATTTGGAGCCTACATAGTAACTTTACTATGATGTAAGAGCTATCTACCATCTATTATATGGATAGCTGTGTATTTTAAAAGATGATACATGATTAATGTTATTTTAACACTAGTTTAAGTGTTTATATTAGACACCCTATACAAATTAAAAAACAGTTATACTATAATAACTGTATAAGGTGTCTAATACAAACATTCAAATTGGATGTTAAAATAATGTTACTCAAGTAGGTATATTTGAATCTCACCGAAGACTCAAAGAAGCCTGAAATAAGAACGGATTTGTATCTGCCAATCCAAGTGTCAGCAATAACGGCCACCGCAATGGAGAGTATGTAGCTAACACCCATGTAATCAGTGACCATGTTAGCTGCATCTGCTAGTTCATAATGCATGATCACATTGAAGTATGACACCAAGTTCACTGCTAGTGATAGAGTTGCCATGTTCTCGAAACCAAATGCGGCTGCACCCAAACCCAATGCAAATAAGAGTGGCTGCATCAATGAACATTAATAAAAATTGCAAAGACAATCCTAACCCAAAAACAAGTAGTGCATGTAGGATAAATTTATGCAATAAAACATCATATATATAGTTACTCTTTGGCTTTCGACATTCCTGAATTCTAGCAACGGTTAGTGTTCACCATGATATCACTAATGGGAATAGTTCTCATGAGCAAGACTAACGCCTTCATTTTCAAGCCATACTATGAATCCAAAAGGAAAAGGAGAAAATAAATTAAGTATCATATATCTTGCTTCTGGTTAATACTCTGATATAATCCACACCTTTATTAATATAGTTACATCGATCTTTCATGTTAATGTAAATAAAAGTGTTATTAGTCCTTTACCCAGCATGAGCAATGAAACTTTCATTCCCCCATGTTTTTGTTTCAGAGCTTTTCTTCCTTTCCAATCAACTTTTCCATCAACCACCTCTCCTTCCTCCTCTTGCTCCATCCACTCCACATTCCCATTAACTACAGGATTTTCCTGCATGGACATGATAAGATGAACATGTTATAAGTGGCATGCAAAGAACTTGAAAACGGTTAGGCACATGGGGTGCATGCATGCAAAATGTAAACAGAAAAAAAAAAATGAAGTACCATGACTTTGGAGAAATTAAAACTTTTAAGTTGCCAATTCAAAAGAAGATGGAAGAACTATATATAGCACAATGCCAATAGGAAAACCAATCTCTGTCTTATATATTTATTATTCTTCACTTAGAAATATATCTGAAAGAAATAATTATGTGTACATCAAGTGCATTTTAATTAAGATCACTATCATATACAGATGATTGATGACCAGTTCTAAGGAGGCAGGGTGTACTGTTCTTGGTTGATAGCGAAATTGAATTACATTGGATTTGCCGACTTTAGAAAAGAAAGATTCGAAGGTAGTTTTGTATCAGCATCAGCAAGGACCATAATGATGATAACAAAATGGCTATAAGATATTAAGATTAGTTACCCACTTTCCTATTTACCTAGCTACTTCACAAGAAATAAGCAATTTACTGGCACATATGTTATGTGACAACAAGCTTATTTATAATCTAAGTTTAATTTGAAAAAAAAAAATGCATCCTGTTTACCATATGTTTCAAGACTACTTTCTAGCTATCATTGTCAAGAAAGATTAGTAGAAATTTTGAGAAAAGAAAAGATATATGAATTTCAGAGTTGTTTGACAGAAACAAGTCTCATTTGTTGTAGCAAATAAAAGACACGACATCTATAATAGGAAAGGAAAGTGATTCAATCTAAATTAACTTACCGTTTATTTAATGGAATATTCTGAAACAATTTTCCGAACATATGTCTAAGGAAATGTAATAAAAAATTAATAAATAATAATTTTTATTAAAAATTATAATATTTAACATTATTAATATATTAATTTCTGTAATTTTTAATAAATATATAAATTCTTATTGTGCGTAAACACATTAAAGAAATCATTTCTTAAATAAAGTGGTTCAACCTATATTAATTTACATCTTGAATAGTTGTTTCAAAATAAAATAAAAAGCCACTTATGCGAAGCAAAAAGTATTGGTTTGCCTTTTAAGTAATTTCTTTGTATGATCATGATAAAATTTAAATATATAATTAAGCACCTCACAACTCCAAACGCTTTAGTTAAGTGATATACAAACATCTAATATGTCAATAAGCATATATAATTACATATTAGAATCTCAAGTAGCTATTTATCCTGGCTCAAAACTAAAGTGAGACTTTTTATGAATCCCTTAATTCTATGATCCTTGCCTTTAGCTTAATTTGGAAGATGAGAATTATCCAAGTATTCGTAAGCTGAGAATCTCATCATATTTGTCTTCATTGTGGCCCAACCCCTTGACTCCTTTAAGAATGAATTTAGTTATGTTTTTCCCCCACAAGTTGATACTGAGATATGGACGTAGAATCATGAGAAAATATTCTACAAAATATCAGCATTTGAAATCTTTGTACGTTATGCATGTAAGTAAAGCAACTATCCAGCAAGAAATAGTCCAAGAGCTTCCCAACACTTGAGTTTGTATGCGCAAAATGTTTTTTGTACTACTTTCGGAGGCACTTTCAAGATTTTTTTCTTTTTAATCGAAATATATTTTTTGAATGCATGTATGTAAAAAAATTAGGAGATAAAAATAATTGTATATAATATTATTATATACACAATATCAACATTTAGTAGCTTAAATAATATATTCCCTCTTCTGACATAGCTCTAGGACAATATTTGAATAGTTTGCAATCACTTAGGGCTAAAATATAGTATATTGAAACATCTTGTTTTGGAGATCATTCATTAAAAAAATTATCTTTTTGCTGAAAACATCTTTTTAATAGCAGTAGTAATCAATATATTAACTAAATAATCCAGTGTACCATGATCAGTCACAAAGAAAAGAAAGTATTCTTGCTAAATTTTACCTAAAATCTATAAGAATACCAACAGACTAATGTATATAGATATGTGAAGGGTTCACATCTTACTATATAAATATTTCAACGATGGTGGAAATTGCAATAATTTGCTTTATTGATTATTTGTTCAAGTGGGGTAGCAGCCATGAACCCCACTCTTATTGCTTCTATAGCTACTTGTTGAGGTCTCAATCAAATGTAAATTTAATTAATTAGCTAGCCGGCTAATTAAACAATACTATGACTGCAAATTAATTAATTATGTTGTGTCATTGATTTGTCATGTTCATGTATCGTACTCCGAATCCTCCCACTCGATTGGATATTATTAGCTTGCAAACTGTAATTTTTTATTTAGATTCTTTTATTAAAACTTGAACCACTGATTATTAGTGACCAAAATAATAACTGCTGATTGCTGACTGTAAAGTTTTGATGTCTCTATTTTAACTTTATTTTGAATAAGGATGTAAAGAATGATGACATATGTACTAATATGTTTTTAGCATAAGCGTTATTTCTTATGAAAGCAATAACAGTTCATATTATAATAAAAAATTTATGTGTATAATAATTAATTATGGGTTTGATGTACTAAATTTTCGTAGTTTCTTATTTTTAATTCAAAAATAAAAATTTTCTTTTATTTTAAAAATATAATCTAGTCATAATATAACCTTTTGATATTGTAATTTTTCAAAATAACGTGTACCGCGATGACTTTGGTTTTTAAATTTTTAATTCAATTTTTATTTTCTCTTTTCTTAATTTGAAAGTAAAAAAATATTTATGATTTATTTACTTTAATTAAAATAAATTAATTTGAAACTTGTTAATCTTAAGATTTCTTCAAGATCACTTTATTTGTCACGGTTTAATGAACTGTTTTTCTTAATTCAATCCTATTACAAAATGATATTCTTTAGAGAATAATTTTTTTTTTCAAATATGATCAATAAATATGAATTCACCAAGACACTTGTTAGTGTTTTTTATTTTGGTAAACAGAAAAAGAAAAAGAAAATAAAGCAAACTACAAAATATGATAATAGTTTTTAAACATATATATAATAATTTAAAAATAATAAAATGATCTATTTTTTTTATATTTGCAAAATATCACAATTTTGTAATTCACGTAAAAAAAAGTTTAGGCAACTAATTAGAAATAAACGTTATAAAGAAATATCTTCAAAAAGAGAAGGCGTTTGATTCTTCATTGACACTGCAATGAATATCACGTCGTCCTCGTCTATTCTAAGTTCTAACGCTTCTCAAATAGAATTTTTATTTACCATAACACTTTTATTAACATTATAAATAATTAATTTTGTTAACATTTGTTTAACGACAAATAATGAAAAATAATAAACAATATTTTTTACTAAAAATATAGTATTTAATAATATTAATAAATTAAAATATTGTATATAAATTTCTATTATATCTTTAAAAACACAATAAAAAAATTGATAAATAATAACGTCAACAGAACGTTTGTGAAGTACATTAAGATTATTTTTTATTCTTACACCAAAGATCGTAGAAATAAGAAATAAGAACATATTTGTATCTGCGAATCCAAGAGTCAGCAAAAACGGTCATCATAATGGAGAGTACTTCATAGGTACCACTTCAGGGATTACTTTTCATGAACACTAACCCCCCATGTTTGTGTCTCATTGCATGCTTATTTATTTTCTCATTAGTATAAAAATTAACAAAATGGTGTATTTAGGAAAGGGCTGCATAATCATCATTTCAATGGTAATAAAACTTGAGCAGTTTTTCCTCAGATGAATTAATAAACCACCGAGAATACTTGAATCGTCGTAATATTCTCTTAAGATTTAAAGCAATAACTTCTATGCATTTAACGAGAGGAACCTTTCAATTACCTAAATTTGGAAGACCCCAACAGTTCAACTGTAATGTAACTCCGATTCTCGTGAATACTTCAATTCATGTCATGCGTGCTTTCTTTTCTTCATGACCCTTTGTCCTTTCATTTCATTTTCCCTTTAGTTTCGCTATAAATATGCTTTTAAGCAAAAGATTTATCATTCATCATAACCATAAGCATACCAAACTTTCTCTATCCATTTTGCACCTTCTTTGTAGTTGTTACCTGAAAATGGGCGGAAGAAAGAAAACCACTGAGGTTAGTTTTGCTCAACGTGTTTATGACTCATATTCACTTGCATTAGTCCATGCAGAACAACCTAAGCCTTCAGCAACTGTTGCACCTATAGTGTCTTCTTACAATGAGAAGATTCGTCCAGTTCTTGATGCCGTTGAAAACCTTAGGCGCCTTAACATTGCAAAAGAGGGGATTCAGCTTCCTACCATTGTTGTTGTTGGTGACCAATCTTCTGGCAAGTCAAGTGTTCTAGAATCTCTTGCTGGTATTAGTTTGCCACGTGGCCAAGGAATTTGTACCAGGGTGCCCTTGGTTATGAGGCTCCAAAACCACCCTCTTCCAAAGCCTGAGCTTGTGTTAGAGTTCAATGGTAAAAGCATTTCAACTGATGAAGCACATGTTTCTGATGCAATAAATATTGCCACAGAAGAGCTTGCAGGCCTTGGAAAAGGGATTTGCAACACCCCTTTGACTTTGTTGGTGAAGAAGAATGGTGTTCCTGATCTGGCAATGGTTGATCTTCCTGGGATAACCCGGGTCCCAGTTCATGGACAACCTGAGAATATTTATGACCAGATTAAGGACATGATCATGGAGTATATAAAGCCAGAAGAAAGCATTATCTTAAATGTTCTCTCTGCCTCTGTTGATTTTACTACTTGTGAGTCCATTAGGATGTCTCAGAGTGTTGATAAAACTGGATTGAGAACACTGGCTGTGGTCACGAAAGCTGACAAGTCTCCTGAAGGCTTGTTAGAGAAGGTTACTGCCGATGATGTGAACATTGGCCTTGGTTATGTGTGTGTGAGAAACCGCATTGGAGACGAGTCTTATGAGGAAGCCAGAATGGAAGAGAATGTGCTGTTTGAGTCTCACCCACTTCTTTCCAAAATAGATAAATCTATTGTTGGTATTCCAGTTTTGGCTCAAAAGCTGGTTCAGGTTCAAGCTATGATTATATCCAAAACATTGCCAGGGATTGTGAAGAAGATCAATGAGAAGCTTGCTAACAATTTGTCTGAGTTAGAAAAACTGCCTGTTAACTTGACCTCAGTAGCTGATGCCATGACTGCTTTCATGCAAATTATTGGATTATCGAAAGAGGCACTTAGAAAGGTTCTTCTCAGAGGTGAATTTGATGAGTACCCTGAGAACAAAAAAATGCATTGCACCGCTCGGTTGGTGGAAATGCTTGATTCTTACTCACGTGATCTTTACAACTGTGCTGAAAGTGATGCCACAAAGAATTTTCTGATGGATGAGATAAAGGTCCTTGAGGAAGCGAAGTGGATAGGTCTGCCTAATTTCATGCCACGCACTGCTTTTCTTACTATACTGCAAAGGAAGGTCAATGGCATTGCAAAGATGCCTATAGGCTTTGTTGATAATGTATGGAATTATCTTGAGGAAGTTGTGATTTCTATCCTAATGCGTCACTCTGAGAATTATTATCAGCTTCAGCTGTCAACAAAGCGTGCTGGGGAGGCTCTTATTACCAAGAAGAAGGAAAATTCAATCAAGCATGTTTTGGAAACTGTTGAAATGGAGAAGCATACGGATTACACGTGTAACACCGACTTCATGGAGCAATACAATAAGCTAATATCTCAGCAAGATGTTTTTTTGAATGCAGTTTTCAACAATGTGGATAAACCGTCCCGTGTGAATCTTGAACGAGTTGGGGATATTGATGTTGGTCATCTGAGGGCGTACTCTTCATCTGTGGTTGCTCAGAGTTTTGATTTAAAGGTGAGAATGATTTCATATTGGAAGATTGTACAAAGGAGGCTGATAGATAGTATTGCTCTTCATTTGATGCTTAGTATTAACAAGCTTGTTAACATGGATTTCGAGAAAGAAATTGTTTATGATCTGTTATCTCCAAAAGGTGGTGGAGTTGAGAGATTGCTGGAGGAATCTCCTTCTATTTCTGGCAAGCGTGAAAAGCTTCGACGGACTGTCCATGTTTTGAGGGAGAGCAAGGAAACGGTGGCTAACATAATGGATCGAATTGGAGCCTACGGTGATGTTTAGAAGTTTTCTTCAATGTTGGTCATATTATCCCGTCCTGCTGCCGAAGCCTTTAGTTATATTGAAGTACAAAAAATTTGAAGTTGGTTATTTTCAATTATTTATTTGTGTGGCTTCTCGTGCCTTTAATATATTATCATCCTAATGCTTGCTTTCATTTGGTCAATTTAAAATTTAGAACAATATAATAGTAGATTCAGAAAGGAACTATGTTGTCATTTGATGCTAAAAATGTTTACAATTTTTCAACCAGTTATTCCAATGACTCTTAGGGAAGAAGCTTGTAAAAGGCTAATATTATAGGAATAATAATAAAGCTGAAAATCTATAAATCCGTATGTTTGTACCATCATTTTTTTAAATGTTTGTAAATTACATAAATATTTACATAATATGATATTCATTTCGGTTCTTTTTATAAGGAACAAAAGACGAAATCATCAAGACCAAGAAAAGTAATGAAATATGTTATTTTTTTTTATAAATATAAATTTTATTATAAAAATACTCGATATTAAACTATGTAGTTAGTAATTTATATATTTAATGATATTATAAAAAAAATTTAACAATTAATGTATCTTTAATTTATCATTTGTTTCTTATAATAAGGACAAAAAAATATTTTATTTTATTTTTTGTAAAAAAGACTAGGAAAGTAGGTTTTAAATCTTACATGAAGCAGTCGATGAGTTTTTTTTATTGCCCTAATATTCACATGCAACACCAAAAGTAGTTTAATTAAGCATAAAAATTTCATTTTATATAAGACTTAATAAAAATATCTTTATTGCAATTGGGAAAGTGCTAGTTGTACGTAGTTCAAATTAAAAAATTGATTTACCCTTATCTCGGGTGTTGTTTTTGTGTTGAGGCGTATAACTTGATTTCCCAAAATTATATAGTTAAAGGGAATCCCCCTGCCCCTCTTAATCACCATAGCAGGGAAAAAAGGACAAAAAAAATACCATTATACAGAGCAGTGAAGAAACACACACTACGGTCTACATTATGAAATCATCATGTCAATATATTATAAAAATAGAGTGAAATCTCTACAATCTGCTAAAATAATGATCATTACAGTTGGTCTCCCTAAGTTATAATGTATTACGGTTCTGAGCATATCTCATGTATATCATTGCCAAATGCTGAGGTAGAGCTAAGTGTAAGGAGTCCTGTTGAATTGTCTGTTTTGCTTGTGCTCAAACTATGAATTTCTCTTTGTTGATGGATGTCCCTCGTGGCTTTAAACCTCAGATCCTCACTAAAAGCACTTGGTTCTGGGATAGTATCTGGAATGCTCATTCTTCCTTCAAGTATGTTTACAACATCAGACATTGTAGGCCTCAGTGACGGCGATGCATTTGTGCATATGAGAGCTACTTTCATCAACTTTATTGCTTCAATTGGGTTTACCGCTGCTCCCAACTTTTCATCCACCAGTTCTATTAATTTTTCAGTATGCTGCAGATGATATGCCTGCAATGTGAACTTTTGTTACATACTGGAGATAGAAATATTTGCTTTGGACAACTCCCAAAACAAAAGGGATTTGTAGTGCCAAAAATGGATAAGGATTTGAGACATAGTAGAATACATTGTCTAAAAGGCAAACACAATTATCGCTTGGCATGTAACTGTTATTATTCTTCCCACTAACAATTTCCAAGACCACAACTCCATAACTATAAATATCAGCCTTGTAAGTTAGGTGACCCCATAATGCATATTCTGTTGCCATATATCCTCTACAATATAAAATTAACAGATTCAAATTTGGGGTCAGGAAAACAGTTATTAGATTTGCATTGTCAAGGGAGATATTACTTACATTGTCCCTGCCACTCGGGTGGTGACATGGGTCTTCTCCTCTTCATCAAGCCTAGCCAACCCAAAGTCTGATATTTTAGGGTTTAAATTCCCGTCCAGCAACACATTAGTTGCTTTGATATCTCGATGAACAATCTTGAGTCTTGATTCTTCATGAAGAAATGCAAGACCTTTTGCTATCCCAATACAGATTCTAAGCCTTGTTGGCCAGTCAAGTTTAAGCTGATTTTCTGAGCCTATAGAAGGAGCAAAGAGAAGTTATGACAGAATTAATATGAATCATGCTCTCAAATTTCTATTTCTCTACTACATAATGATATAATTGGAAAAAAAAAAGTATCTAATGTATAACAAGCTAAGCACAGTAGTAACTGAATTAATTTGTGTAGAAAAAACGATGAAAAAACAGCTAGTAGTAGCATTCAGTCCTTATTTTGTATCCAGAAAGATGGAAGAGGATAAGATTTTGCACAGCTGGGTGGAAACTCACTGAATAAAGCACGGGCCACGCTATTATTTTCCATGTACTCATATACCAATATCAATTGATCCCCTTCAATGCAACATCCATGAAGTTTCACAAGATTAGGGTGTTGCAAACAAGATATCACGCCTATCTCATTTAAGAATTCACGGTTTCCCTGTCGGGACTTTGACGAGAGTTGTTTGACTGCAACCCATGTACCATCAGATAATTGACCCTGCAATCCAACAGTTATTTAGAATTTTACATCCTATGGACAAGCAGAAATTTTATACTTGGAAGGAAGTGGAGTGTTCACCCTAATACCTTGTAGACAGGACCAAAACCACCTTCTCCAATCTTGTTTGCAGGACTAAAATCATCTGTGGCAGCTCTAATTTGTTTTAACGTAAATGTCCCCTTCAGAGAATATCGTCCTCCTTCTGTACCTGTCCAATTCATTTTTAAGTTCAACGTATCTGCTCGTTTTAGAGTGAGTATTTAAGTACAAAAGCTTGTTATGTGCAATATACATAGAAATGCTTGTCAACGTAAAGGCACTAAGTGGAGGCAAATTATTTATTCACATAAAACACCATCCATAGAAAAGTAAAATAAACCATTATCACCAATCTTGAATGGCTATTGGATCCCAACAATGGGGGCAATAAACAAATAGATGCACAGCATTAAGAAAAAAAAAAAAAAAAACCTTTTTTCGTGTTACTGAAAGGTTGGAATACTCGAGCATGTAGCCTTTACACCAAAATATGAACAATAATATGATAATTTTTACCATTTTTTCTTGTAATTATTCCTTTGATGTAGCCTTTCCACCAAAATATTCCAACTATGATAAAGACTAGGCCTAGAGAGCTAGTATCTTATGCCTTGCATTTTTTCGGTCTAAACAAGGTTTAGAATCTGGAAAAGAATAAAAATATATAAGATCTTATTGTCCAATAAAAGAGAATGGTACCAAAATATTTAAATTAGAACTGCAACTTCAAACATTGAGAAGCTTAGTTCAGAGGCAAAAGAAAGTTAGAGAAACTCGGCCTAGTCATGTCACCATTAATAAATGAATTGAGAAGTAATTTTACTTTCTAAGTCCTCAACAATAATACAATGGACCAAATTCCAACATGCAAGAATAATTTTGAAGTTCCAACAATTTAAGATAGTAAAACTCCATTTCATACCCACTGAATGTTATTCATGAAAAAACATCCAATGCCATTCTTCGATGTACCAAGGACAGGTGAATTATGCTTATTTCTCTTACACAGTGAAATGGAAAAATTAAACAAACAAGCTCATGATCCATCTATATGAATAAGGAATGCTAGTGGATAATGAGAGAGCTATCCTCAATGCAATGTCTTTAATTATATATATAAACTTACTCAAATAATAAAGATTACCAGGCAAAATATAGCACCATCCTATAGTTGAAGGTTAGTACTATCGTTGGAAATAAAGGACCAAGGTAATTATTAACAATTTTCCAAATTTTATACAAAGCCCTGTGGTAATGAGAACAAATAATTAGTTGAGAGAATTACTAATGTTGCAAGTAAAAGGGTCATTTTACTGAACTCTTGAGCACACATAAACATAAATAGGAATCAGTCTCAGATATAGACTTGCTTCTACTTGTAGACATAGACTTGCTTGAAAGCAAGCTGCACTTCTCTTCAAGAAACCTTCCCAAGGAAAAAGCTGCCCTCACGGCTGCAAGAACAGCTGCAAATGCTATTTATGTTCCTCTAGCTTAACAAGGTGCCATAGATCTGCAGAGTGGAATTCTTCATGCTGAGAAGGATTATAAAACTACATATAGTTATTTCTTTGAAGCATTTGAGTCTTTCAATGCTCTTGAAGAACCCAAGGCTGTCTTCAGCCTCAAATACATGTTATTGTGTAAGATCATGGTGAGCCAAGCTGATGATGTGGCTGGAATTATATCTTCTAAAGCTGGCCTCCAATATGTTGGGCCTGACTTGGATGCCATGAAAGCTGTTGCCGATGCTCATGCTAAGCGATCGTTGAAGTTATTTGAAATTGCTTTGCGTGATTACAAGGCCCAGTTGGAGGAAGATCCAATTGTTCACAGGCACATGTCATCCCTGTATGATACTCTCCTGGAGCAGAATCTTTGCAGATTGATTGAGCCATTCTCAAAGGTTGAGATTGCACATATTGCTGAACTAATCGAACTTCCCGTAGATCACATGGAGCGAAAGTTGTCTCAGATGATTTTGGACAAGAAGTTTGCTGGGACATTGGATCAAGGTGCTGGATGCCTTGTCATATTTGATGATCCCAAAACTGATGCAATATGCCCTGCAACTTTAGAAACCATTTCTAATATTGGGAAAGTCGTGGACAGTCTTTATGTTAGGTCTGCCAAGATAATGGCATGAGTTCTTGATTTGGTTACTTCATTTTTGTATTTGCTACAATATTTTGTTTCTGTTCTCTTCTTAGCAATGAGTAGGATATCATTTATTTAGATTATGAATTTCAGACTCGGAAGTTTTCGTTTTTGAATCCGTGATCCCTAAACCACTTCAGGCGACCATATGTTGTGATTTAAGGCGTTTTGAATGTCTGATCTTAAAAATACATTCTTGTCAAGGGTTGGTATGATAAATACATATGTGTGATATATTGTCAGGGATGAGGATACCAAATCATTAGTGGGCTTTACAATTTTTGTGAAGCCATATGCACCATACAATAATAAGCCAAGATATCATCCATTTCTTCGTAACTTTGTACCTTAACAAGATTCAAATGATAAGAAAAGTGGGCTTTACAATTTTTGTGAAGCCATATGCACCATACAATAATAAGCCAAGATATCATCCATTTCTTCGTAACTTTGTACCTTAACAAGATTCAAATGATAAGAAAAGTGGGCTTTACCATCAATACGAGGAGAAGCATTGAATCTTGGCCATGAATATATTAGTGAGTCCAAACACAACTGTAAAGCAAATGAGTAGGAGAAAAAAAGATGATTGATAGATTCCTCTTGATCATTGCATAGAGGACATAGACAAGTGTGAGGTTAATCAATTCTAATTCCCTTCTAATGAAGTTCACTCTCTAGTGTGAATTCTATCTAGGAACCTTAGCCATGTGAATACCTAAACCTTTCTGAAAAATTGCTTTAACAAAATCACCACAAAAGTAAGAATATTTTTTCATAATATTGAAGTTATAGGTTTATTCAAAGAAACATTAAAGAGACACAAGCTCCTTTCAACAGGAAAGAATGTAAATAACATACTTTTTTTAATATTTAGTTAAAATTTATTAAAAAATAAAAAATATCAGAGAAAAATAATAATTAAGATTAAAAAATAATGAGACTTAATTGTTTTTAATAAATTTTAGTTAATAATTAAGAGTATGTTAAAGAATGCGTTGATAATATTCTTCAAATTTCAATTCTAACTCTAGCTTGAAGTTCAATTTGCTTGGGACTGAAAATGCAAAAATAACGCTTAAAAATTATTTTAAAATTTTATCTGTTTAAACCAAATATTCGGAAGATAAAATTTTGCTTCCCCTACCGTACAAAATATAACGTAAATGTAGTGCTTCTGCAGAACTGGTACCATAACAAGCAAATAAAAAGAAAAAAATAGAAAAGAGTGAAAGAATGTGAAATTTTTGAGCGAGAATAAGAATTCACGAGAGCATTACACATGGAAGAATGAAACCTTCCTTTCTTAATGGATAATAGATCAGGTTGGAGATATTACAGTTGATTAACAAATTACTCTCCACCGTTTATCGAAGTTACAGTGGTGTTAGTGGGAACTGGGAATCAGAATAAAAATAATGTCATTCAAAGGATTTAAATATAATTTTTATATATAATAACTAAAACAAATTATAATTGTAAGGATTAACATAAAAAATAATATCAGGATTAAATTTAATATTATTTTAACTTTGATAAATAATAGGTATTCACTTGTCAATGATTTTTTATATAAAAATTAAAATGTAAGTTTTTTCATGTAAAGACAAAAATTAAAAAAAATATTAAGTAAAGGGACAAATTTATAATTAAATCACTTTTTATTATAATTATTAATAGTTTACTTGTGTTTTCAATCTTTTGAAAGTTGACAATTTTTTAGTGATTCCTATATTGAAATTTATTTTAAACAAGTCTTCACTATATTTTTTTAATCAAATGGTCCTTTGTGAATTTTGTTTACCATTTAATCTATCTAAATACTATATATATATTATCTTTACGACTATTACTAATTTTTCATTTATTCCTCATATATAATATAACTTTAGCATTTGATCTCTTCAAAACAAGGAACTAAATAAGAACTGCCCATATTTAAAGAAATGAAATAAAAAATAAACAAATAACACTTTTATAGCAAATTTTTTTTTATAAAATGTTAAAAATGTAAAAAAAAAAATTACAAGATTTTAAAAGAACAAATAATTAGTAAAGTTAAGACATCCTTAGTTTATTAATATTATTGCTAAACAGTTCTTACTTCATTTTATTTAATATTATTATTACTATTTAGTCCTCCTTCCTCTGGAGAAGAACCGAAACCACCTTGGCCATCTTTGCCTAACACAGATCTCCCTTCAAAAACCAAAACCTAGTCCGCATCAAATCAATGATACGTAGCCACCACACGACCAGAACCATGTCAGCATTCTGATGACAACCTTTTATTTCGCAAAATTTCACTGAATCGAATCGAAAGCTGTGATATTTCAGGTACCGAATCCCAACCACATTACCGTTGCAAAGAAACCGATGTTTTCAATTCAATTCTGTGATTGTGTAAATTCAATGAATTTCTAGGCGTGCATAGTGCATTTGAGAATGCAATGGGTCATGATTTTCCAATTAGCAATTTTTCGCTTTATAGATTTTTAGTATTGTATAATTAGGTCTGCAAAATTATTCATGCTTTCTAAAAACACCTTTGTTATAAACAGAACGTTCTGGTTTTTGGGTTCTAAGATCCTTTGACTATTTCCGTCTTTAATTTTACCTTTGTCATCATCCTTATAGTGTACTAATAATTTTATTTTGCTTTTAACTTAATAACTTTTGTTTCTTTGCCTGTAACTTTTGATTTATAGATAATCTGATACCGAACACTGCACGAATGGGATCAGTAAAACAGAAGTAAACTTAAGAAGACTGCTTGCAGCTGCTCCTCAGCAGCTAAACCAGGCGAAACTTGTACATGTAAGTCTGCAGATAAGTCTTGAGCTTGACAGGTCATTTTAGGGTTATCAGGTTATGTTAATCTCAGTTATAATATTTTTTCCAATTTTTTTGAAATGATATTTCATTTAGTCATTTATTAACTATGGGAAACACAAAATTAATCATTTGTTGATTCTGGCTGCAGTATGTTGCTACTTTGCGAGAACAATTGGAACAGTTGGCTGAAGAGAGGACACAGGAAGGCTTACCGAGGTATTGTGTGCCTCTTTATTTAAAATCTGATAGATATAGATGTTAAGGAATTATAAGTGAGATTATATCATTTCAGTATTTGTTTAGAAATTGTAGCTCAGTCATCTGGTAATTGTAATCTACCCTTAATTTTTTCTAATATACCATAAATAGTAGGGACAGATCTTCATGGTCTTTTCTTTTTATTGTAGGGAGAAGGGGATGGGGGGTAGGGTTTGGCGCCAAAAGTTTTAAAAATTCCATGGAACAGAAATACATAAAATAAATCAGATATACTTTTTTTTTCTTAAAAATATACTAAAAAAAATTTAATATAAAAAAAATTAAATTCATCCCTGTATTAATATTTTATAGTAAAATATTAATTTTATTATATAATTAATAAAATAAAACATAGTACAAAAATTTAAATTACATCAACCAGAATGACCCTAAAAAAGAGGTTATAACTGTATAAATCATCTATAAATTAGAAGATCATAACATAAACATAAGATCTTTTGTAAAATATAAAATTATATTTAAATAAATATATATATATACATATAAAATATCATAAATAAATAAAATAACCTTAAAATCATAGATATTATTTAATAAAATTTAATTAGAAATATATATTATAATTCATAAAAATTATAATTCTATAAAAAATATATTTTTATTCATTTATTTAAATAAGATAAGTTTTTATAAAAAAAAAAATAAAGTAAAGCATTTTTCTATAGTACCTATTGTTTGAACTATTCAAATGGCCCAGCCCACACCTTGGAATGTCTAAGCTATTCATATGGCCCTGCTAGACAAATGCTGACAAAAAAAGGGCTAAAAAACATGCAACTAAGAAAAAGAATAAAAAATAGAGTCTACAAATGAAAACAGAGAGGCTCGTATTCAAACACCCAAAGTAAAATCACAGTTACAGCGACTAACACCCAGGAGCAATTCAAACTTGCATGTGCAGCAGCAATCAACACCAAAAAATAAATGTAAAGAAGAGAATCCAGTATCCACCCAGTCACACACACATGCAGAGGAAGCAACACAACTAAACCGGGTCATGCGCGATCTGTGGCAGAATTGTGCGTCGGTCGCGGACAAGAATCCCGATTGAGCATCGATTCAGGCAATTCAAGCTGCGATTCTGGAACAAACCCGATACACCCTGCGATTTGTATCTTTCAGATGCAAAACTGCATCGAATCGCGAATCATGCTATTCTAACTAGCATGATCTTGACAGAAGTGAGTGATAATATAGTTGCACCATTCAATATTCAATTATTAGGATTGAATAATCTTTATATGGTTGTTATATTATAACAGTAATCTAGTTACCATCGTGGAAGTTTATCTTATAACATTATTTTTTGTCCTATTTATAAGAAACAACTACCAACTCTTTTTGGGTCCTGAATATAAGAAACAAAGACCCTTTTTCAAATGCATTAATTGTTAACTTCTTTTTATATTTGTATTTATTGTAAAATTTGTGAATGTGGATATATTAATTTACTTGGTACATAACACACAAATTTGCCCATTTAAAATACCATAGGTCGATTAATTAATCACAACCTCATTTTTTTTGTTGACAATTATCTCACATTTGAGAGTTTAAAAGATGAGGTGTTAACCAAATGAATTCGCTTGCAGATACTTGATTCTACCGAGAAGGCCATTGAGCATAGTTTGGCGCGGCGAGCAACAGCAATATACTCGGAGAGTTCCAAGACTTCTTGCTTAACGTGGCTTGTGATGTTTGTGATGACATGTGTATTTGTCATGGTTATTCTTCTAATCCGTGTCACATAGACTAGTATAGTTCACATTTCACTGGGTAAAACGAAGGAAAATGTTTTATTGTACGTTTAAAGTGAGATGATTTTTGGTATTTTCTTTGATTTTGCTGGGTGTTTTTGAGATATATGTAAAGGAAGAAAATGCTAATAAGATAGAGATAGTTGTACACGTTATATATGGTGTCAATTTTAAAATGTGAAAAATTACAATACTGTAAAAGCAATTACTTCCATTATAGCATTTTCCATCATGTAAATTACAAATTTGACATGATGGATAACTAATATTTAGTGAGTTTTATGTATATTGTATAGATTTATTAATTTAAAATCAATTTTTGACTAAAAAATTTAAAGAAGTATTGCATATTTTTTTTATAAATTTAATTTTCTAAATTCAAAAAAACTGTAAACAATTTAATTTATTATTAATATAAATATTCCATTATATTAATTAGAAAACAATTAAAAAATAAATTAAGATTGAACTAGAAAAGAACATATGATGCAAGAGAAGTCATACAATGTAACGAGAAAAAGATCGAATAACTCATTCAAAAACTATTTGTGTTTAAAGTAATTCTTTTAAATACTTTCATTTTAAAATGATGACTTAGAGGTGGGTTTTATAACATGACAGTTAAAGATTAATCAATTACAATAGTTTTGTTAGGATAAATTTATCCATAAGTACTTATAGAAGTAAAAATTAAGTGATAAAATTAATAAAATTTCTTTTAAAAGTTAAAATTAATTTGTACTTTTTTATTTTAAAAAGAATTATTTTATTTCTCTAAAACTTAAAGAGTATAAATCATTTTTAACTTATGAGATAACTAATTTTTTTATTATTTATATGATCTTATTTAGAAGTTTATCTAAATTAAACTTAAATTTGTTATCTAACTGTGATTCCCCTCGCAGTAAAATTGAATCTATTTTGAAATAGTATGTATAATATCACTACTACTGGTGAGTTAGAAAAATTCAACTATGATAAATATCAGTTCAATTAAAGATTTATATTAAAAAGGGTTAGATTTAAGAAAGATTCAAACGGAGCTGATATTTCAATGGACGTTAATAATAACATATTATTTATCAGAAAACAAAATGTTGTTGCCATAAACATAATTGAATCTTCCTTTATGAACGCAGTGTTTTATATCAGTTTCATGGCAGTATCCATATCAGGATTTGTTAGTACCTCAAGAAACAATCACTATTGAGGGATCAGTTGTCTTGTGTGGTTGGCATAGTAAGTGTTAACCTAACTCTTATGGGTCTAGCCACTAACATTTCCCACCTGTCTACCTAGTTGTCAAAACATTCATATAATCTCACAATTTTAATAAATAAATTGTTAGATAATTTAATTTATTATTAATTATTTTAATTAAATAATTTGTATTGATCCATGTAATTTATTGACCAACTTTAAAAAATGATTTAATATAATGCTTATTAATTAATAACAGACAATGGAGTTAATGGGAATTTAGTTTTTAAATTTTAAAAATCCATCCCCTTGCCTTTAGAAACAAACAAGCTGGTTACCACATGTGTTAAGGAAAGAAAAATAAAGAACACATATATATACATTTCTTCCACCAAAGAAACATCAAAGGAAAACAAGGAAGAAAGGAGAAAAGCAAAAAGAACTTAATTAAAGATTCCCCAAAAGTTTACAAAATGTGGATTGAGATGAGTTTTGTAATCCTTACTGTGTAAGAATCATAAAATTTTAATATGTTTAAAAGTTTAATACTTTTCTGAATTGTAAACTCAAAGAAAATTTACATATAACAATTGGTATGGAAGCATGTAATTATGAATTTTCGTGAAAGGTTAATTTTTCTTCAATTTTACAATGTGCAAATATATATTGAGTTCTGTATATGGATAGTAATTGATTGTTGTCAAAATCCCTTTTGGTTCAGTGTCCTGGATTTCCATGAACACTGCATGCGTTAAATATTCATGAGTTATGTTCGATGTGTTCATGTATCAAACAGTGTGACCCAACAATAGAATAAAATATTCATGCTATTTTGTAAATTTAATTCACAATATCCGTTAGTTGAAATATATTCATGTTATGAATCATAATTACAGATGCCTATAATATATAGATTTATTTATGTTAAATAGGATATGGCTTACAAATTTATTATTATTATTTCATAATTTTAATACTTAAGAAAAATTAAGGAGACTCTTCTGAAAAACAAGAACATGAAACATATTTTAACTTCCTCTAACTTTTTTTTTTTTAATTATCTTTTTAGCCCTTTTGTCATGCCTTTATGCTTTTCATTTAGCTGAATAACATTTAGTCTACTCATTTTGCTCAACTAAGCAATCCTTTAATAACTTATGAACTCAAACTTTTTGAGTCCCTTCTTTAGGGTAATTATCTAATAATAAAAGGATTATTAAATTTGTACTTAACTTATCATATTGGACTAAATTCAATTTTAACTAAAACACAATCGACTTTTGTGGCAACTAAAACATGCAACAATGTCTACTTAACTTGTAAAATACGAGTTCATTCAATCATCACTTATAGGATTTTTGTGATTAGTCCATCCTATTTTTTTATTTACTTAAATATAAGTTTAAAACAATTTGACTTATATATAATCGTGTGACTAGTCCCTTCTTATATCAATAAGACACGCCGACACAAACTATTTGATGGTGGTTTTTTAACATGAAAGCTCACCGGGTGAGCTACTGTTCAGAAAGTTACGTATTGAGTGATGAATGAAAGGAGAAAAGGTGATCAAATAAACAAATAAGAGGAATATTAATAATACACTTTTTAATTAATAATTAAGAATATATTAAAAAAGTGTGCTGAAAAATAGGTAAGTAATCTTCCTTAACAAATAATGCAAAGCTTGCCAGTTACCTTGAAACTTTTTTGAGAAAAGAAGTGTGAGCTTTTATGAAGATGAGTACGTTACCAACTTTATTTTGGGTTAGGTTTGTCCTTGTCCCAATCAAACTCCATTACTTTAACTAGAACTTACAGATTAAGAAACCCACTTTAATTGCTGAAACACTCTTTATTCTTGCCTTCGATTCATTCCATAGTTGCATAAGCCATATCAAGGCGTAGAAAATGCCTTTAATGCGCTTTTCCAAAAGTAAAGGTTGCACGGCTTTGTTGGTTTTGGAATTTGGACCCCTTCTCATTGGGTGGCTGCTATATTTTAGTGCCACAAAGCTTTCTGTGATTTGTGCCCTTTCTCTCTCACTTTGTTATCACAATGCCACTCAACTTTTCCATGATTGAGCTTTTCATTGCCATTGTGGTATATATGCCTCCTAATGTTGTTCCCACCAAATGCTCCATTCATTATCCAAGTATTCCTAAGCTGAGAATCTCATCATATTTGTCCTCATTGTGGCCCAACCCCTTGACTCCTTTAAGAATAAATTTAGTTATGTTTTTCCCCCACAAGTTGATAATGAGACATGGACGTAGAATCATGATAAAATATTCTACAAAATATTAGCATTTGAAATCTTTGTACGTTATGCATGTAAGTAAAGCAACTATCCAGCAAAAAATGTTTTTTCGTACAACTTTCGGAGGCACTTTCAAGATTTTTTTCTTTATAATCGAAATATATTTTTTGAATGCATGTATATAAAAAAATAGGAGATAAAAATAATTGTATATAATATTATATACACAATATCAATTTTTAGTAGCTTAAATAATATATTCCCTCTTCTGACATAGCTCTAGGACAATATTTGAATAGTTTGCAATCACTTAGGGCTAAAATATAGTATATTGAAACATCTTGTTTTGGAGATCATTCATTAAAAAAATTATCTTTTTGCTGAAAACATCTTTTTAATAGCAGTAGTAATCAATAGATTAACTAAATAATCCAGCGTATCATGATCAAAGAAAGTATTTTTGCTAAATTTAACCTAAAATCTATAAGAATACCGACAGACTAATGTATATAGATATGTGAAGGGTTCACATCTTACTATATAAATATTTCAACGATGGTAGAAATTGCAATAATTTGCTTTATTGATTATTTGTTCAAGTGGGGTAGCAGCCATGAACCTCACTCTTATTGCTTCTATAGCTACTCGTTGAGGTCTCAATCAAATGTAAATTTAATTAATTAGCTTTATATCAAATGTAATGTGATACAACCCACACAAACACGAACACAAATAGAGAGAACAGAAACGAATAAAGGGCTGCAAATATAGGAAGAATATTATTTATATCAAGTAACCGACAAACACAATAAAATGCACTAGGACTCTGGGAGAGCAATATTTCCTAATACCCCAGAGCTAGTCTCCTAATAGAGAGCAATTGCTGCTCTATCCTGCAATACCAAAAGAACAGAATCATTATCACCTCCTACTCCTGCCTCATCATGTCTAAATAATGGAATATTATTCTTTCTCCTCACATAGACAAGCCATTCTTTGGGCCGTGTAACTGCTTCGTGGACTAACATTTCCTCTGGCCCAACATTACCTTTTGGGTCCCCATCATAATGTAACTCCGATTCTCGTGAAAATTTCAATTCATGTCATGCGTGCTTTCTTTTCTTCATGACCCTTTGTCCTTTCATTTCATTTTCCCTTTAGTTTCGCTATAAATATGCTTTTAAGCAAAAGATTTATCATTCATCATAACCGTAAGCATACCAAACTTTCTCTATCCATTTTGCACCTTCTTTGTAGTTGTTACCTGAAAATGGGCGGAAGAAAGAAAACCACTGAGGTTAGTTTTACTCAACGTGTTTATGACTCAGATTCACTTGCATTAGTCCATGCAGAACAACCTAAGCCTTCAGCAACTGTTGCACCTATAGTGTCTTCTTACAATGAGAAGATTCGTCCAGTTCTTGATGCCGTTGAAAACCTTAGGCGCCTTAACATTGCAAAAGAGGGGATTCAGCTTCCTACCATTGTTGTTGTTGGTGACCAATCTTCTGGCAAGTCAAGTGTTCTAGAATCTCTTGCTGGTATTAGTTTGCCACGTGGCCAAGGAATTTGTACCAGGGTACCCTTGGTTATGAGGCTCCAAAACCACCCTCTTTCAAAGCCTGAACTTGTGTTAGAGTTCAATGGTAAAAGCATTTCAACTGATGAAGCACATGTTTCTGATGCAATAAATATTGCCACAGAAGAGCTTGCAGGCCTTGGAAAAGGGATTTGCAACACCCCTTTGACTTTGTTGGTGAGGAAGAATGGTGTTCCTGATCTGGCAATGGTTGATCTTCCTGGGATAACCCGGGTCCCAGTTCATGGACAACCTGAGAATATTTATGACCAGATTAAGGACATGATCATGGAGTATATAAAGCCAGAAGAAAGCATTATCTTAAATGTTCTCTCTGCTTCTGTTGATTTTACTACTTGTGAGTCCATTAGGATGTCTCAGAGTGTTGATAAAACTGGATTGAGAACACTGGCTGTGGTCACGAAAGCTGACAAGTCTCCTGAAGGCTTGTTAGAGAAGGTTACTGCTGATGATGTGAACATTGGCCTTGGTTATGTGTGTGTGAGAAACCGCATTGGAGACGAGTCTTATGAGGAAGCCAGAATGGAAGAGAATGTGCTGTTTGAGTCTCACCCACTTCTTTCCAAAATAGATAAATCTATTGTTGGTATTCCAGTTTTGGCTCAAAAGCTGGTTCACGTTCAAGCTATGATTATATCCAAAACATTGCCAGAGATTGTGAAGAAGATCAATGAGAAGCTTGCTAACAATTTGTCTGAGTTAGAAAAACTGCCTCATAACTTGACCTCAGTAGCTGATGCCATGACTGCTTTCATGCAAATTATTGGATTATCGAAAGAGGCACTTAGAAAGGTTCTTCTCAGAGGTGAATTTGATGAGTACCCTGAGAACAAAAAAATGCATTGCACCGCTCGGTTGGTGGAAATGCTTGATTCTTACTCACGTGATCTTTACAACTGTGCTGAAAGTGATGCCACAAAGAATTTTCTGATGGATGAGATAAAGGTCCTTGAGGAAGCGAAGTGGATAGGTCTGCCTAATTTCATGCCACGCACTGCTTTTCTTACTATACTGCAAAGGAAGGTCAATGGCATTGCAAAGATGCCTATAGGCTTTGTTGATAATGTATGGAATTATCTTGAAGAAGTTGTGATTTCTATCCTAATGCGTCACTCTGAGAATTATTATCAGCTTCAGCTGTCAACAAAGCGTGCTGGTGAGGCTCTTATTACCAAGAAGAAGGAAAATTCAATCAAGCATGTTTTGGAAACTGTTGAAATGGAGAAGCATACGGATTACACGTGTAACACCGACTTCATGGAGCAATACAATAAGCTAATATCTCAGCAAGATGTTTTTTTGAATGCAGTTTTCAACAATGTGGATAAACCGTCTCGTGTGAATCTTGAAGGAGTTGGGGATATTGATGTTGGTCATCTGAGGGCGTACACTTCATCTGTGGTTACTCAAAGTTTTGATTTAAAGGTAAGAATGATTTCATATTGGAAGATTGTACAAAGGAGGCTGATAGATAGTATTGCTCTTCATTTGATGCTTAGTATTAACAAGCTTGTTAACATGGATTTGGAGAAAGAAATTGTTTATGATCTGTTATCTCCAAAAGGTGGTGGAGTTGAGAGATTGCTGGAGGAATCTCCTTCTATTTCTGGCAAGCGTGAAAAGCTTCAAAGGAGTGTCAATATTTTGAGGGAGAGCAAGGAAACTGTTGCTAATATAATGGATCGAATTGGAGCCTACGGTGATGTTTAGAAGTTTTCTTCAATGTTGTTCATATTATCTCGTCCTGCTGCCCAAGCCTTTAGTTATGTTGGAACTACAAAAATTTGAAGTTGGTTATTTTCAATTATTTATTTGTGTGGCTTCTCGTGTCTTTAATATATTATCATCCTAATGCTTGCTTTAATATAATAGTAGATTCAGAAAGGAACTATGTTGTCAGTTGATGCTAGACATGTTTACAATTTTTCAACCAGTTATTCCACTGACTCTGGGAAGAAAAAGCTTGTAAAGGCTAATATTATAGGAATAATAACAAACCTAAAAATCTCGAAATCCGTTTGTTTGTACCATCATTTAAAAAAATGTTAGCAAATTTCATAAATATTTACATAATATAATAGTTTTTAAATCTTACCTGAAGCAGTCGATGAGTTTGGCAAGATTTTTGTTGCAAAAATATATCCCCAAGCCCAAAGATATTTTTATTAAGTGTTATATAAAATGAAATTTTTACACTTAATTAAACTACTTTTGGTGTTGCATGTGAATATTAGGGCAATAAATATCTTTATTGCAATTGGAAACGTGCTAGTGGTACGTAGTTCAAATTAAAAATTAAAAATTTGATTTACCCTTATCTCGGGTGTTGTTTGTGTGTTGAGGCGTATATGTACCTTGATTTTCCCAAAATCATATACTTAAATGGAACCCCCCTGACCCTCTTAACCACCAGAGCGGGGAAAAAAGGACAAAAAAAATACCATTATACAGAGCAGTGAGAAACACACACTACGGTCAAGATTATGAAATCATCATATCTCAATATATTATAAAAATAGAGTGAAATCTCTGCTAAAATAATGATCATTACAGTTGGTCTCCCTAAGTTATAATGTATTATGGTTCTGAGCATATCTCATGTATATCATTGCCAAATGCTGAGGTAGAGCTAAGTGTAAGGAGTCCTGTTGAATTGTCTGTTTGGCTTGTGCTCAAACTATGATTTTCTCTTTGTTGATGGATGTCCCTCATGGCTTTAAACCTCAGATCCTCACTAAAAGCACTTGGTTCTGGGATAGTATCTGGGATGCTCATTCTTCCTTCCAGCATGTTTACAACCTCAGACATTGTAGGCCTCAGCGACGGCGATGCATTTGTGCATATGAGAGCTACTTTCATCAACTTTATTGCTTCAATTGGGTTTACCGCTGCTCCCAACTTTTCATCCACCAGTTCTATTAATTTTTCAGTATGCTGCAGATGATATGCCTGCAATGTGAACTTTTGTTACATACTGGAGATAGAAATATTTGCTTTGGATAACTCCCAAAACAAAAGGGATTTGTAGTGCCAAAAATGGATAAGGATTTGAGACATAGTAGAATACCTTGTCTAAAAGGCAAACACAATTATCGCTTGGCATGTAACTGTTATTATTCTTCCCACTAACAATTTCCAAGACCACAACTCCATAACTATAAATATCAGCCTTGTAAGTTAGGTGACCCCATAATGCATATTCTGGTGCCATATATCCTCTACAATATAAAATTAACAGATTCAAATTTGGGGTCAGGAAAACAATTATTAGAGTTGTATTGTCAAGGGAGATATTACTTACATTGTCCCTGCCACTCGGGTGGTGACATGGGTCTTCTCCTCTTCATCAAGCCTAGCCAACCCAAAGTCTGATATTTTAGGGTTTAAATTCCCATCCAGTAACACATTAGTTGCTTTAATATCTCGATGAACAATCTTGAGTCTTGATTCTTCATGAAGAAATGCAAGACCTTTTGCTATCCCAATACAGATTCTAAGCCTTGTTGGCCAGTCAAGTTTAAGCTGATTTTCTGAGCCTATAGAAGGTGCAAAGAGAATTTATGACAGAATTAATATGAATCATGCTCTCAAATTTCTATTTCTCTACTACATAATGATATAATTGAAAAAAAAAAAGTATCTAATGTCTAACAATCTAAGCACAGTAGTAATTGAATTAATTTGTGTAGAAAAAACGATGAAAAAACAGCTAGTAGTAGCATTCAGTCCTTATTTTGTATCCAGAAAGATGGAAGAGGATAAGATTTTGCACAGCTGGGTGGAAACTCACTGAATAAAGCACGGGCCACGCTATTATTTTCCATGTACTCATACACCAATATCAATTGATCCCCTTCAATGCAACATCCATGAAGTTTCACAAGATTAGGGTGTTGCAAACAAGATATCACGCCTATCTCATTTAAGAATTCACGGTTTCCCTGTCGGGACTTTGACGAGAGTTGTTTGACTGCAACCCATGTACCATCAGATAATTGACCCTGCAATCCAACAGTTATTTAGAATTTTACATCCTATGGACAAGCAGAAATTTTATACTTGGAAGGAAGTGGAGTGTTCACCCTAATACCTTGTAGACAGGACCAAAACCACCTTCTCCAATCTTGTTTGCAGGACTAAAATCATCTGTGGCAGCTCTAATTTGTTTTAACGTAAATGTCCCCTTCAGAGAATATCGTCCTCCTTCTGTACCTGTCCAATTCATTTTTAAGTTCAACGTATCTGCTCGTTTTAGAGTGAGTATTTAAGTACAAAAGCTTGTTATGTGCAATATACATAGAAATGCTTGTCAACGTAAAGGCACCAAGTGGAGGCAAATTATTTATTCACATAAAACACCATCCATAGAAAAGTAAAATAAACCATTATCACCAATCTTGAATGGCTATTGGATCCCAACAATGGGGGCAATAAACAAATAGATGCACAGCATTAAGAAAAAAAAAAAATCCCTTTTTTCGTGTTACTGAAAGGTTGGAATACTCGAGCATGTAGCCTTTACACCAAAATATGAACAATAATATGATAATTTTTACCATTTTTTCTTGTAATTATTCCTTTGATGTAGCCTTTCCACCAAAATATTCCAACTATGATAAAGACTAGGCCTAGAGAGCTAACTCCAAATCCAACTCCAACAAGTATCTTATGCCTTGCATTTTTTCGGTCTAAACAAGGTTTAGAATCTGGAAAAGAATAAAAATATATAAGATCTTATTGTCCAATAAAAGAGAATGGTACCAAAATATTTAAATTAGAACTGCAACTTCAAACATTAAGAAGCTTAGTTCGGAGGCAAAAGAAAGTTAGAGAAACTCGGCCTAGTCATGTCACCATTAATAAATGAATTGAGAAGTAATTTTACTTTCTAAGCCCTTAACAATAATACAATGGACCAAATTCCAACATGCAAGAATAATTTTGAAAGTTCCAACAATTTAAGATAGTAAAACTCCATTTCATACCCACTGAATGTTATTCATGAAAAAACATCCAATACCATTCTTCCATGTACCAAGGACAGGTGAATTATGCTTATTTCTCTTACACAGTGAAATGGAAAAATTAAACAAACAAGCTCATGATCCATCTATATGAATAAGGAACGCTAGTGGATAATGAGAGAGCTATCCTCAATGTAATGTCTTTAATTATATATATAAACTTACTCAAATAATAAAGATTACCGGGCAAAATATAGCACCATCCTATAGTTGAAGGTTACTTAAGTACTATCGTTGGAAATAAAGGACCAAGGTAATCATTAACAACTTTCCAAATTTTATACAAAGCCCTGTGGTAATGAGAACAAATAATTAGTTGAGAGAATTACTAATGTTGCACGTAAAAGGGTCATTTTACTGAACTCTTGAGCACACATAAACATAAATAGTAATCAGTCTCAGATAATTTGAGTGACTCCATCTAGGCTAGTCTCAAGCTCGAAATACTCAACTCATAGCCAATCATTGTTGACGAGGAAAGTTGCATTTTCAAATTCAATTTTTTTCTAAATATCAATTAATAGAATTATTAAAAAAATTAAGGAAAGTTGTCCTATCAAAACTTGCCTATCTTTATATTACATGCACTAAAATATCCTTCAAAAGTTGTTTGGGAAGAAAGTTTTAGAAGAAAAAGGAAGGGTGACAAATTTTCCATTTTAAATAAACATTTTAATTGGATAAATTTTCAAAATAAAAGATATAAAATGATAGATTACATAAACTTAATGCATTAATTATTTATTTATTATCACAAACAAACCATATGTAATTCTCTCAATCTGAAAATGAAAAATTGTCCTTTCTCTTTCAAAAATTTCCTCCCAAACAATCTCTTAAAGAAATAAAATAAGTAAAATGCTATCTTATAATCAAATATATAACAAAAAATCATCTCACATTAATGTTACAGTACACAAGCTAAATCACTGTATGACTCACTAGAAACAATTGAGAAAGCTGATACGAGGGGACCATAGACTCCACCATTAGGAATCCTTGTAGTCCCCTTGCCAGCCCAATAGAATCGAATCTCCAAAATATTGTCAGTTACTGTATGGTTTTTGAGCAGCATGTGTTTCATCCTCAATATTAAAATCCTTCCTAATTAATATTTCCTGCAAAAGAGCAATCTTATTAAAACTTGATATGACTAACAAAACATAATTTTAATATTTGATCAATACCTGAAGATAAATATCAAATAACCGCTTCCCAAGACTTTTATATGTATGATCATTTGTAAATTGTATTTCTGCAAAGTGGAGATTTACAGTATATTTTCCATTTTCCAAGCAATAGTGAAAATAAGTAAGTGAGACTGGAGCAACACGAGCCGTTTTATATAATTCAGGCATGTTTGAAGACAGCAAAGACCTAGCGTAACGTGTATTTTGGTAATCACCATCATCCATGAAGTCCCCAGTGCTGCTAAACCCCCAATAATTTTCATAATCAATAAAATATTTAGCAGCACCACCTGGCACATTTCCATCTCCAACATAAACAATACTTTCATCATTTCCCTTCACTGTTACATCCTCTCCACCACAATTAACATGAAAACAATGTAAATCTGCAATAATAGAAAAATGAAGTTACAAAAAAATAGTAGAGACTAGAGAGTAGTTGTGCATCATCCATTATGCAACTTCTAAGATGATCATGGTGTACAATTGCTTTTTTTTGGTTGTTCAAAATCTCAAATCAGTAGAAAGTTGTGATATAAGAATACTCAAATATATTATATACCAATAAAATATAAAATTACACACTTTCAATTAGAGTAAATCTCTTGATTCTCTTCTAGCACAAATTTAAATTGTTAAATTCAATTCAATGGTACATTTATCCAATTCTGCATTTCCTACTTTTCATATTCAGTTTAGTGTATCTTCATTAAAATAACAAATCCAGAAACAAAATATTTGTAAAAATTATAACTTATCAAACTTATAAGCTTGGAAAATATATAATAAATAGATAGATATGCATGAGCAACATGCATACTGAGCATGAGCATCTACCATTGTATTCCATCCGTGCATCTACCATATATATATATATTCATGTGAATACATGTATATATACAGAAGCACACATCCAAAGGCACTTTAAGACTAATGGCTTTTAAAGCCAAAATGAATCGAACTATCAACCTTTTCTGTAGGAAAGGAGACCGTATAACTGGCATATGAATATGCAAAAGAAATTGGGATGTAAGTTCTGTAAGACTAGAAAAAGTAGCAAAACCTTCCAAATATAGAACAGGATATACTTACATCTAGGACAATTGTTGAAGGTCTTTAAACATGGAAGAATTCCTTGCCTGTCAAGAGTGACAACGATACTAACATTGTTTACACATTATTAAAACAAAGGAAGATTTAAAGATAGGCTCTTACAAAGCATTGGTCCCTAAGGAGCTCCGAAACAAGTTTAGGTTTAAATTCCTGACCAAGTAAAACAAGGTCAAACAATAATCATTTTTCAATCAGTTCATATACATAGGAATAATAATAATTCTATTCATTCACCATTTTCATTACATGATTTTTACACCACTTTCCTTTTAGATAATAAAACAATAAAAACACGCATTCCAACACACACTTTACATTTATTTTCTCAAACTAGAAAAAAATGTCAAGAAAGTTTAAGAAATAAAGTTTTTAAGTAACAAATTCATAGGAATAATTGTTGCAAAAAAGGGCATTCTAACAGGTATTTTCCACAAGCAGGTTGCTCAGGTCCTTGCCATGTGAAGTTGTTGTAAGAAAGATCACTGCATACAAATATCAAAAAGAAATGTTATCAACAGTTAAATGGTTGTAATTATACCATCACACAATCAAATTCTTCAGTTAGTGCAGAATCCATCCAACATGTTATTTTATAAGATTTGAAGCTAGAAGACTTTTATAAAAGGTTCATCAGCTAAGAAAACTGTGCATAAATAATTTTCTCGAGAAATTATATAAACAAGAATAACAACCAAATCAAACTCATTTTCTCACAATAAAGTAAAAAAAATTTAGGAATTGCTACACACTGAAGCAGAAAGCTATAGAGTCAACATGCTTAAAATTTAAATTGGTAGCTCCCTTGTCCTATTGGTTGCAAGAACAACAGCTCAGAATACATTGGCATTGGAGCAGTAAAAGATACTTTGCATTTTGAAGTTAAATTGACTGAGTTAAGAAACATACACATTACTTCCATCCATCAAGATTGAGTCTGGTACTTTACCGCTTAGCATGTTGCTAGTTAGAAAGCTGGAGAAAAAACAATAGAAAAGGGTTTACTATTACAACAATTTAACTCCAAGGAAATAAAAGGGAGCATCTTTTAGAGTGTTTATGTCTGCTTTCATGGTTGTCTCTGAAAACAAACTCAACTCAAGAGTAAATATTAAAATAGTACTTCCTTCACCCCACATTTGCCAATATTTTTGCATGTTCATTTCTTTTGATGAGATGAGTTTCATTTCTTTTATGATTGGTGAGAGAGGAGAAGGTGATTTGATTGATTTACTTATAGTCTTAAGCCATATTAATTATTCTACTTATAGTTCAATGAAGCGTATTTTAAAATTTAGAGAACCACACTTACAGAAATCTCAGATGCCCCACATGTGCAGCAACCGGCATTTCCCCAACCAACTTATTGAAACTGACATCGCTACAAAAGTTGAAGAAATAGTAAAAATTTCTAGAGTTAAATAGTTTGGATTCCAAAGTTATGTGAATATAAAACTAATTTTTCTTATGAATTGGCATAATTATGTCGTCATGAATCTATATCATGCAATTTGCTCCTGGAAGAAAGTTTTGATTTAATAAATATGCTCTTCGTTGCAGCATCCCATAACCAGCAAGTAAATACAACCTAAAATGATAAAAGATGAAAAACATAAGCAGCTTAGGCACTAGCCACCATTTATTATGAATAACATCAACAAAGGAAGCCAACAACATATTGGTGCAATTTGTCATGGCCATTACACATAATTATTTTAGCAAAGGAATTGCTCCATGCCATATGTACATTGAACTTCCATTTGAAGTAGTAGTATATATTGAATGAACAATTGGGAATCAATAAATCGGCCGATGATGATTAATTCCATTAATATAATATGATTGATTGAGTGCAAAAAAGAAAAGGATTTAATTTCACTAAAGCCTTTCTATTAAGAGTGTTCAAAAAATACAATTTTATAAGTTCAATCATAATTAATATTAAATTAGTTTTAAAAATCTAAATCTATATTAAAATGATTTTTTTATTAATTATATTTATGTAACCAATTTAGTCTCTAAATCCACTTTTTAAAACTGAATTTTTATTTATTTATTTAAATTCATATATATGAAGCTAATACCTTATATCTTTACTTATTAAATTTCTGCTTATATTAGTTTACAAAAATTTATTGTAACTACATTTTACCACTAATATTTTTTTAATAATCTTAATTCTTATAATTAAAATTAAATATTTAAAATAATTAAATATATTAAAATATAACAAATATTTTAAAATTAATTATTACTATTGTTTTTATCTTTATGTTTATTTTTAAATTTTTAAAATATTATAATATAATAATTTTATTATTATTTATATTATTAATTTTTATTTTTATAAGTTTTAATTTAAACTTTCATTATAAACTCCATCTATTAAAAATAATAATAAATATTTTAAAAACTTCTACAAAATATAATATATTAATAAATATTGTTAAAATCTTTTTGAAACGCACTAATTTAATGTAATGTTTTGTACATTAAATTAGTTTTACCTTAAAAACAAAATTCATAAATATATTGAAAATCAATTTTGCGTTAAAAATTAAATTTAAAATTAGATTTAAAACTAATTCAACGTAAAACTAAATTTAAAACTAGTTTCAACAAAAACTAAATTTAAATTTTAAAACTATTTTTTAACTGATTAAAAAAATAAAATAGTTTAAAATTTAATTTATATAATTAATTTGTGTGGTTGATAGATAATAAAAAGTAAAATATATCTAAATATTTATGACTTTAATAAAATATAAAAATAAAAAAAATATTATTAATAAATTAAAATATATGCAAATATTCTCTTAACATGTATTGTTAATTTTCTTTAGAGATGTAATAGGTTAGAGTACTTCTTGTATTAATATTTTATCTTTAATAAATATTGATGCTTAACAAATATATATATATATATATATATATATATAATGTTATATTATTTATTATAAAATTTAAATTTTTTAATATAATAATTTATAATAATATAAAAAATATTTATAGTATATTTTTAACATGTAAAAACAGTTTTAGAAAAATTAAAATAGATTAATTTATAATTCAATCTATATAATTAGATTTTAAATAGATTTAAATTAGTTTTTTAAAAATCAATCAATGAACACCCCTGCTTTCTATTAGATTTAAAGCATTATGATTTATTTTTAGATTAATCTGTTTCATTGTCCTAACTACCATTTGTTTAGCACAATGGCTCTCTTCAATTGACAGGACCTTCTATCCAGGGCATGATGTTTATAATATCACCTAGATTTCCATTATCATTGACTAAATTGAAGCTTCAGCAAAAAAAGGGTGGCCTAGTGCACAAGGCTCCTGCCTGTTGGGGTCTGGGGGAGGGTAGATGTGAGCAGCCTTACCCCCGCAAGTGGCAAGGCTGTTTCCAAGATTTGAAGTAGCAGCTCCACCTCACCAGGCAACAAGCTTACCGTTGCGCTAAGGTTCACCCTCTTAAGCTTCATACACAAAAGCACACAAATTGCTTAATTGTACATATGCAGTTGCCAAGACTGCTGTATATTATACAGGAAACAAAACTAAGAAACAACATTCTTTGTGCATTATTCTAGCTTTTATACCAAATTTTTACTAAGTTATCTCCTGAAGTTTGAACTGAAAGCTCAAAACAATTTACTTTTAGACATGAAAGTTTTCATAAAAACAATTATCAACAAACCAACTAAGAAAATTATATCTGAATGTCCATAATTTTTCTACAGTGCATGCACCATAAATCATGATTTAATTTCAATAACCTAAAATTAATATATTTTTTCTTATCTCTGTTCTCTGTGATTAATATTTAACAGTATGAACAGGGAACGAATTCCATTTGAAACTTTGTCAAATATGTTAAATATAAGCTACAAGGTTATATATCTATCTTACGTGCATTTATCAATGAAACTAGCACGTTTCCATGCTATGTACCATAGTATACAAGAATACTAACTTTTACTTCCAAATTACCAGTTACCACTGAATATTACCTTACAAACAAATATTTAGATTCTCCACAAAATTTCTTAAGAACATTTAGCCCCCTTGCTCGTGGATAAAATTTCCATTCCCTATGATATGTCCCTCAAAACTTGAATTAATAAAACTGCATGTTTCATTAGATACGAGAAAACGAATAGGGTGTCAGGAGTAATATTTTTATGTACCAATAGATGTGCTTGCCTTTGTATGTATCTATGCATGTATCGGAATATGGTAATTATATTTTCTTCAATAATAAAACAATTGACAATTAAACTTAGGCTTAGAAATTCAAATGTTCTACTTACAATGTTTCCAAACTCTTCATTGTCCAGAAGTAACTAGGAAACTCTCCAGTAATATTACAATTTCTCAAAATCCTAAATTGAAAAACCCAAATTACTTTTTAAATTAAACATAGCAGATAAAATATGCCAATTTTTTATTACAAGCAGAAGTCAACGTACAATTCTCTCATTCCTGTCATGTTGCTTAAAATAGGAAAATCCTGACTTGGACTATTTATGTCACTAATCCTCCTGGATCAAATTTCCCACCATGAGCTAAATTTATATACAACAAGATAAACAGGAGGAAAATATTAAAATACTAAAAATATTAGCAGACATTTTACTTACAATTGAGATAAATTACTCAAAAGAGATATATTTGATGGGATAGGTCCCTCCAGTCCACTTGCAATAATCTCTCTTCAATGATGTACAAATATAATGAGAATATCTACCTTAAAATAATCATAATGTAGACTTTATCAATTGTGAAGAATTAGAGTGTATTTGAAGTTTTAGAGTGCAATCTCACAGTCTTTGAAGTAATTTCCAATTCTGTATGAACTGAGGTATTTTTCCATTGAAACTATTATCGTTTACCCTACTGCAATACACCATTAAATGATATTTATCAGGGAAAGTGACAGTATTTACATCCTAAGTTCAAGAAAAAGTTAATCAGAACTTACAAATCTGTCAAATTCTGCAATTGAGCAAATGTCCCTGGTATGTTCCCAGACAATTTATTGGATGATAAAACCCTCCAAAGATAATATTGCAAGTAAAAACCATCAGAAACAGAGTGAATAATCTTTCAAAATAATTTCAACAGTAAAAAAATTAATCTTGGAAAACATATAGAAATTCATTGTCTTACAAAGTCCGCAGGTTAAATAGACCTCCAAGTTCAGGGGGAACAAGACCAGAAAATTGGTTTGCTTCAAGGTTTCTGATTTGAGGTCAGAGCAAAAAAATAAAAGAGAGAGAGAGAGAATTTAGATATGTCCAATGAGAAAGTAAGATAAATGCACTACATCATTAATACCCTTTAAAAATTCTTTATATCAGGTAAATAAATAATCAAAATACATGGCTCATTGCTTGATGGTCTCAGAACCATATAATGGCAGGAAATATGAACCACAAATTTAGTTTCCCCATTGAACTTCAATCAGCATAAATCTTCAAAAAATAAATGAGAAAAAACTATCTATAAACTTACAGGTATGTTAGAGTGGTAATATTTCCCAACTCCTTAGGAATTTCCCCTGACAGATGATTAACAAATAGAGAGCTGCATAATATGCTGTATTTAATACAAAAGGAAAGTAACTCAATCAAAACTTCAATTAACTAATAACAAGAACTTACATAAGAGTTAGTTTCGTTGAACCCCATTCCTTTGGAATCGAACCATATAGGTAGTTCAAAGAAAAATCACTACAATGAGAGCAAATTTCATTTCAATTGGCAAGGCAACAGGTGCAACCAAAATGGGAACAAGAATAAGTTGAGACAAAAATCTAAATTTTAACATTAAACAATTACTGAAACATTTATAAGGTGTGTGTTCATAGTTCATACACTTCTCTGAGGTAAGGAAGCTTAACCAACTGAGGTGGAAGCATGCCAGGAAGGTTGTAAAACTGGAACACACTAAAACATGGAAAATTGATTTGAAAAAATTAGGTTCAGTCAACTAGTATTAAGATGCAATAATAGTGTTTCAAAATTCAAAGTCCACAATGAATTTCTTCTCATATCCATCACTACATGGAAATGACAGATTATTTATATAAACAGCTAGATACTATATCAGACAATATATATAGCAAAGGATAAATTAATTAAAAGCATTCAGGATAAGATAAAGAGATTTTTACATCCTTACTACATGACAGGTGTTATTTTCAAAAGAGCAATCACAATCAATGCTGCTTCGAGTTCCATTAGGTGGCTCTGGTGTTAATCCCAGTATTTTAATGTGGCAAGAATCACTATCAAACTCCCAATAGGTGGCACCCATTGTGCTAGTGATTTCTTTAAGAGCATCAACTGAAAAATTTTGAGGACGCTATAATTATAACATAACAAATCAAGTCGTATAATACAAGAAAAAGATACAATAACTAATACAGTTAAAAGATAGAACTTAATAAAGCACAATAAAGGTATCTATCTCCAAAATTAAATTAAAGGAGCAAAGTCCTATTACTCCAGACTTACTGTGCTTCAATACTTGCCATGTATTACTATTAGGAACTACTACTTGGAATCCTTCAAATCAGATCAACAGAAAAAACGCTTGAAATTTGAGGAAAACTCATCATACCAGTGGTACGACAAAATGAGAAAGACTTTCAATTTTTCATTCATTTGTATTTTTATTTTTATTTTTTCAAGATGAGCAGAGTGAACTAAATTAAAGAGATTATCCACACGGTCAAATTAATTTCCAACAGGAACCATTTCTGCAATTTTACGTCAAAAAGACATTTCTAGAAACACAAGTCAAACTTATCATACAAAATCTTAAGAATTTTTTTAGATGCGTTACTACCACTAGCAACACAAAACAGAGAAAATGGTGAAAAAATCAAGAAGCATGATGCAAACAAAATGGCAACTTTATCCTCCCACACCAGCTTTTTGTGTACCCTTTTGACGTTTCATTGAGGACTCAATAGAGCAAACAAGATACTCTAACACTAAAATGAAAAAAGTAATTCTTACCCTCTTCCTGGGGTAGTTTGGATTCTGCATATTCGAGCCATCTGAAACAACTAAGTGGAAGAACTAGGAAAAGAAAGCAGGGCCTAAGTAGCATCCTCAAAAAGACAGCCACCACACAGAATGTTTCTTTGACAAATCACACGCAAGCAGTAGCACCATAAATTAGTAGTTGTATTTGTGTCAGAAAAACCTGTTCCTTTCTTATGTACATGGATAGTTAACAGCAAAGGCAAGAACCAGAGTTCAGAATTCAGACGAGAAAAGATAAATGAATTATGAAAGTAGAGAGAGAGGATATGCACCCACGTGATTCTTGTCTTTCTTGAATAACATCATTGGTCGCACACCTGGAATTAATAGCTATTCTCTCGCACAATCTATATTCTGTATTATTTAAGGGCTGCATTGGATTATCGAAATCGTCTCATAATTTATTGATAGTTACTTGTTTAAAACTTTTGTTAAAATTATCATCTAATTTTTTTATTATATTTTATTATTTTTATTAATTCATTATTTTTTAATATTTTAGACTAAGGATATAATTAAGAAAAATAATGCATGTTTTTAATTTATTTTTTACTAAGTAGATATTTTTTATTAAACGGTGCAAAGCATCTCCTGTAAAAAAATGTAGAATGAACATATGTAAAATGAAATAATAAAGATATTTTTATTTTTTATTTAAATTATCTTATAATCTTAATTTATTAACAACTGATAAATGCAATTTGTATTTCTAATGCTTAATTTATAAACATATTCATTTTAAGAGACTTTTACGAATACCGTCTTCAGTGTAAAAAATGGTACATGATCTCAAGGTATTTTACATAAATAAAATAAAATAAATGACATGTTACATGTTAATTTTAATTTGTTTATAAATATGTTTGATTTAAATATAATAAAAGTTGACTTAATTTTACTCTAATTTAATTTTAAAATCTTCCTTACACATCAAGGTACTAAATTTTGACAATTTAACAAACAGAAGTCAAATATAATAAACTTATTTTAAAATAAGAGTGAGTTATGATCAACTTTTAAGGTGTTGAATTATGATAATTTAACAAAATAAAAGTCAATTATATTCAATTTTAGTTTATTAATAAGGTCGAGATTAATTTTTATCAATATAAAAAGATACTTTAATTGATTGGCAATCAATCAATAAATACCAGAATAGTTAAATGTGTCTTGATTATCCTAAAATTTGCAATAACTTCTACTTTTTTTATTGAGACTGTATAGAGATCAAATCAGAAATGCAAATGATAAAATTAAAGGAAAGTTATAGCAGCTTTGTTTCCACTTTCTTCACAAACTGTAAAAATTATTAAAAAAATAAAGGAAAGATTGTACTATAGTGATTAAATTTTTATTATTATTTTTAGTTACGTAAATTTAACCGAAAAGTCAATGTTACCATTTTTCATAAAATGATTTTAAAAAAGTGAAGTTGAGCATAATTCACTTTTTTATATAAGTATTTTCAAAAAATAATATATTTTATAATTTAAAAATAAACAAACCCTTAAATTTGTGAAATATGATGTTCTGTTTCAAATAATAATAAAACTAGAGTATTTTGGTGTATTTTTTGTGCATGATTTTTTTAATTTAGAAGTATTTTGTACATCAAAGTTAGAAAAAATAAATAAAATGTCATTTTTTCTCTTATATTTCATATTTTTTTAATTATAAAAAAATTTGTATAAAAATGATATGAATAAAAAATTTCCCAAAATTTTATTTCTTTCCAAATTTGCATGACTATGTTATTATTATTTTCTAAATCTTAAGTTTAAGAAAAGTTACAGCCGTTAGCTTTTGACTTGGGATGCTTGCTATTTTACAACATTTAATTGGAGCATTGTATTAAGAGTTATTAGACATTTAAAATGAAATTTAGAGCATATATTTTACACTTAATTTCAATAATTTTCCAAATGCAGAATCAAAAGCTATATTGAATGAATGTCTACTAAAATCTACTATAATATATTTTTATTTTAATAAAAAATATATTATAATTAACTTTTGTTATGTTAAATAATTATATAAAAGTGCCATGATCTCATATGTGTAATATCCATATTTACCAAAGCTTCTTTTCCGCGTAGCTCCTGACAGATCCACTTGACAAAATTAGTGCACCACGAAATCATTGTGTCGTCCATGTCTTGGAATTATCTTATGGAATTTTAAGAAACTTTTTACGATACTTCATTCGTTCTTTTTTTTTTTTACCTGATGTTTAAAGTTAGTATTTAAAATTTTATAAATATATATATATATAATTTTTTATTTATCATTTAATGAGCAATACATCATTTTCTTCTTTGAAATTATAAACACCCGTTAATTTAATTTTTAAATTAAAAAATGGCTCCTGGAAATTGATTATTTTAAATTATGAAAAGATAAAAAAAATAGAAATATTTTAAAATTTTAACAAAAGTAACTATTTAACTATGCCAATCAAATTATCAATTTATAACTTCGTGACGGCAAATTAAATCACGTCAAACTATTACTCTTTTTTTTTTTTGTTAATTTATTGAGTAATACATTATTTTAGTCTTTAAAACTATAAACATCCGTTAATTTATTTTCTAAATTACGAAAAAAATAGTTCTTAAAAGTTTATTATTTTAAATTACGAAACAGTAAAAAAGATAGAAATGATTTAAAATTTTAACTAAAGTGACTATTTAACCATCCCAATAAAATTAAGATACCGTATGGATATGATGAGGATTTGATTATGACCTTTCATTCATGCATAAGATACCTTATGTTAAAAGATGGTATGTATTAGAACTTGATCAAGACCAGTTTACATATATTTATTACAATAAAAAGAGAAATAATTAGCCTATATTATTACACTTGACATGTAATATGTTTTTCTACTTATATTCTATTAGTGTAAATATTAATTTAAATATAGAAAAGTGTCTTATGAATATGTCATCCTTCGGCTGATACATATGCGTTAACAACGAAAATTATCAATCTCCCGTTATTAAAACTGTTGTTGAATGTTTCGATTATTTTTTTCAATGCCTTAATTAACAGCTTGATCACTCAATTACATTGTATGGTAGAGATTAACTATAACTTTTAATTAAGAATTAAAATGAATTTTTTTATGTAAATTTATTTTAAAAAATATCCAGGAAAAGAAAATCCTAATACAATCTTAATAAACGTTTGATGAAGCTGCATGTCAACTTCAAACTTTAAGATTTTTTTTGTTGTATGGTAGAGCACGTCATATATGAATGCAAGAGAATGATTAAGGAGAGTGTGACAGATGTAAAATATAATCAATTACAAGACAACATGAAAGCAACACATTCCTTGCGGTGGACATGCCTATTGAAAGTCTATGTATACATACATATCAAATACTATATTAGGGATTGATAATAATATAATAATAATTATAGATTATATTTACACTATGATGGGCATGGGCATAAAGAAGGATGATAAAGAGTTATCTCAGTTTCTTTTATAAATTTGGTAAAGATAAATATAATATAATTTACACTTTGACAATTTTTTATTAATTAGTTTTTTGTAGATTCAGTTAAAGTATAATCTTAAATTTTGAAAGGACATTTTGCCCGTTCTGGAAGAAATTTTTGCATGATAGTGTCGATCAATTAGCATATTCTGATCAATCAACATTTAATACGTATCAAATTTAATGATGTATCATGTGTGTTTATTAGCTTTCTTTTTAAGTTTTATAACAACAAAATTTAATTTGTTTTTTTATCTTTTGTAGATAACTTAGTTTACTTCATCGTACAGACCTTCTAGGTGAATGATTCAAGAAGTCATCTGAATTTATTATTTTTTTAAATTGTAATAAGATTGAGGATTCAGAAGATAATTACATAAAAAAATTATTTGTAAAAAAATAAAGAAATGATTTCAAAATAAAACTTGGAGTATACCATGTAAAGCAAAAATTAAAAATGCTTTTAGAAATTTATCATAGATTTTTAATAAAAATCTATTGCTAATTTTATTTATCACAGATCTTATAACTGAACTTTTTAATTGCAACACTGATCATTAGTTTTATGTAACATAATTTATAATTAATTTTTTAATAATTTCGTGACCACGAATTTGATCAATAAACTAGTCATAGTATATACAATTGCAAATTTATGACAAAAAAATTCTATCAATAATTAATAACAAAAAATTCATATTGTTGTTTTTATTTATTATGTATTGAGTAAGATGTCATCTTATTCTTTAAAACTATAAACATCGTTAAATTTAATTCTTAAAATATGACAAAAATAGTTCTTAGTACTTGATTGTTTTAATTATAAAACTGTAAGAAAGATGGAAGATTAAAAATTTTAACTAGGGTGGAATATGCCAATTAAAATATCAATTTTTAACCTCAGATATAATGTTTATTTTTTAATCCACCCGCTAACATCAAATCAAATCCCACCAAACTATCTTTCTGGAGGAACAATCCAATATACCGACAACGTCGTCAACACCTACTTAGGTTGAATTGTCAACCACTAATGGACAGTGCTGTTATATAACCTAACAACCTTTTCTTTGCTGCATTATGCATATGATTATGAATTTGACTATGACCTTTGTTCATGCTCAAGATACTTTATATTAAAAAGATTGTATGCGTAGCATTTAAAACATGTCAATTTAAGATTTCTTTTTACTTTTAGAAACAGCATGTAACTGTACGTAATTTAATATTATTAATGACTTTTTGATAAATTATAAAAAAATAAAATAGTATTTTTTTATTAAAATATTACATAAGCATCCTTTCTTTAATTTTATTGAAAAACATCTTCACATAAATCAAATATCACTATGTTTTTAAATTAAGTGAGAACAGTTGTCTGAATCGTATCAACTTGATCACTCACAGAATAACATAGACTGTGACAGATGTAAAATATATAATTACACAACAAAACGAGAGCAACGCATTCTTCGCTTCGGCTTGTAGCGCGGATCGAGAACTAAAATTCCTTAATCACTTACTTGTTATATATATAATAATACAATAGTAATCATAGATTATGTTTACATATGTTGATCGCCACAGATAAGGGTGGTGAAGAACTATGTCAAAATTATTATGGACTTTCCGAACCCAACAAAACCAACATTGGTTCTCTCAGGTTCCGGTAACCCTCTTCTGGTTCCAAATTCTAGTAAATATCTATCATCATCGAAATCAAATGCGGGTAATAAGAAGAAGTACGTGAGGCAGGTAACGGGTCGACACAATGACACGGAGCTTCACTTGGCAGCGCAGCGTGGCGACGCCGTGGCTGTCAGGAAGATTTTGAATGCGATCGACGCTCAGATGGTGTTGGGGACTCTGAGCGGTGCTGATTTTGATGATGCTGAGATAAGACGTGCGATTGTGAATGATGTTAATGAATTGGGGGAGACCGCTTTGTTTGTTGCAGCTGATGGAGGGCACTTTGATGTTGTCAAAGACATCCTTCAGTATGCTTCTGACGAGGGTCTTTCTTTGAAAAATGATATCGGTTTTGATCCTTTCCATGTTGCTGCTAGCCGTGGTCATTTAGGTATACATGTATATGCTACATTCTCTTCAAGTCACTGTAATTATATCAATGATAAGTTGGCGTATGTTTCATGAGTGCAAAATAACAGTTTTTTCTTAATTTACTAACAATCTAAGACAAAAAAAACATTCGATTCAGACAAGAAAAATAAAATAAAATGTTTGATTGAAACATATAAGTATAACATCAATCTTTTTTAACAGCTATTGTTCAGTTGCTGCTAGACCATGATCCGGGGATAATCAAGACAGTTTCCTTGTCAAATGCTACACCTCTTATATCTGCAGCTACAAGAGGGCATACTAGGGTGGTTGATCTTTTGTTGTCACGTGACCCTAGTCAACTGGAATTATCTAGATCCAATGGAAAAAATGCACTCCATTTGGCTGCACGCCAAGGTCATGTTGATGTAGTAAAATTATTGCTTGAGCAGGATCCACAACTTGCCAGAAGAACAGATAAAAAAGGGCAAACCGCACTGCATATGGCTGTGAAGGGAGTGAGTTGTGAAGCGGTGAAGTTGATCCTTAAGACTGATGCCGCAATTGTCATGTTGCCAGATAAGTTTGGCAAAACTGCATTACATGTATCCACCAGGAAAAAGAGGGTCGAGGTACTCTATATAAATTCTGGTTCAACTAATCAGATGCTCATCATATTATACAATCAATAACACCTTCAGGGAATTTTACTACTTTCAATACACACATTCGTACATATTATTTCTATTTCTTTTGCTATACAATTTTACACGAATGATGAGTTTAGGATTAAAAATCACATAATGACTTAAAAAAATTACATTGCTTTTATGTTTTTTATCTTAATCATTTATGTAAGATCTGATTATCAATAATCTATATTTGCTCCTTTTTTTATCTATGTAAAGATAACTTTTTCATTGGACACGTTTCCACTTTCTGTGAAGCTTATTATTTCAAAGATACATCATATGACGTCAATTATGCACAAGAAAATGTCTATAGTTTCTATTTCTTGCTCCCTACTTAAGACATGAATAAAGCGATATAAATTCATACAACACGTTACTTATGATGCTATGTTAAAAAAAAAGGATTAGTTATGATATGCCATAATTTAACGCAGATAGTGAATGAGCTATTGCATCTTCCAGACACCAACGTGAATGCCTTAACAAGGGACCACAAAACAGCTCTTGATATTGCTGAATCACTATTACCATCCGCAGAAATCCTAGAGATAAAAGGTTCCCTTGCTCGTCGCGGTGCAGTCAATGCCAACAATCTGAACCAGCCAAGGGATGAGCTTATTAGGAACACAGTGACACAGATCAGAAAGGACGTTCTCACACAGCTTGAACAAACTCGAAAAACAAACAAGAATGTGAACGGAATAGCCATGGAGCTACGCCAGATGCACAGAGAAGGCATCAACAATACTGCAAACTCGGTAACTGTTGTTGCTGTTCTCTTTGCCACGCTTACATTTGCTGCAATTTTCAGTATTCCCGGTGGTGATGATGATAGTGGTGTGGCGGTGATGGTAGGCACATTACCCTTTGATATCTTCTTTATTTGCAATTCTGTTGCTCTTTTCACATCACTAGCTGTTGTGGTGGTTCAAATCACACTTGTGAGAGGTAGAACAAAGTCTGAGATGAGTGTTATGAAGGTGATTAACAAAATGATGTGGTTAGCATCTATATGCACCACCATTGCATTCACATCAGCATCTTATATAGTAGTTGGTAGGCATCATAAGTGTGCTGCAATATTTCTCACTGTTCTTGGGGGTGTTACAATGGTTGGAGTTCTTGGTACTATGACATACTTTGTGCTTAAGAGTAAACGTTATCAAAGAGCAAGGAAGAAAGAGAAGAAAGGATTAATGAGAGGAAACTCAGGGTCAGAAACTGAATTAGAAGTGAGTCCAATTTATGCCATTTGATGATGCATCAGAGCTATGAAGTGAAGTTTGATGTTACTCTACGTTTTTGGAGATTGAAAAACGTTGAGAAGGCCAAGGAAACACTTGGAGCCCAAGACAAGTTTCTCTGTGTTTTTAAGACGGCTTTCAAGGGGAGTAATTAATCAGCAAAGCAGCCTAATTGGTTCTTAGTAAGTATTAATCATTCTTAATTAGTTTGATGAAATAACATGAATTGTTATATTTATTGTAGGCATTTCTATTTGCATTCCCTTTAATTAATTAGATTTTGTTATTTGTGACTCGGCAATAACTAATCAAGAGCATTCACTATTTTATTAATGTATGAATTCATCCAGAGACTCAATTTTGCAACTTGAATTTGACCAGAGAACTGTACTTTGTTCTAGTTGAAAAATAAATGAGTCAATTTCTAGTTAGAGCATTTATTATACAAAGTGGATGCTCTTGTTTCATCTATACATATATATGAACATACTGGTTAATAATATTAACTCATTGAATGAATTGCAAATTGATATGTCTTGCAATGGTAATATATAGATTTGGATCCGCAAGGCTTTAGTGTTTTACCACCTTTGTTATTTTCCATGAGATAATTTTTGTCACTTATTTATTTTCCTTTCAAGATAATAATAATTTGTAATAAAAATTAATTTGTAAATTGTAATGTTGTAATATTGGGAATATGTTGACCATCTAGGCACTGTTGGTTTTGCAGGAACGAGGCTTTAGGACGGAGACACTTCCTTAATTCAGGTTGAAATCCCATCGTGAATTAGAAAGTGAAGTGATTGTTGTGTTAGGAAATTAATTAACCAAGACTAGAATGGAGTTATGTTTTGTAATTAACCCTTATTGCTTGTCCTTTGTAATTGATATATAGGTGTTAGCACTAACCTAGTTTACAACTATTCTTCTTATGATACTTGGAGGTTTAAGTCATTAGCCATTACCAATTTTTAGTAATCAGGGAAAAGGTTTCACAAAACTCCTTAATGATCAAAAAATAAAATAAAATTATAATTATCACTATTTTTAGAAGACTTTGGAATTGCATGAAAAATTACTTGTAAAAATATAAATAAATAATTTCAAAATAAAACTTGGAGTCTATATATTATGGAAAATTGATCATATAACTTGTTAATAACTTTAAATTATCACTGAAACAAATCAAAAAGAAAAACATTAATTTATTTAGTTAAACATCCTTGCGCTTAATCGTGGCAGTAATACCAACCATGACAGGGCAATTGTGTTTATGAAGAATAAAGAAGGTTTAATTTTGAAATTTTTTTAAAATTTGAATTTTATAATATAAAAATATTAATTTTTTATTTATTGTTTTCAAATGACTGTATAAAATTAAAAATTAATTTTTAAAATTTTTTTCTAATTAAAAGTGAGCTCAAACCAAAAGGAAAAGTAATTTAGATCTGGGAAATAAAAATTAAAATTGCAAATATATGATATTTTTGCAAAATTAAGTAAATATAGGAATTACAAAACGCTAATGGCGATTTTTGGATTAACAGCAAAAAGGCTGCAGTTTTAGGACTCCATTGACACAAAATGAAAGTTGCAGTGATTGACATGTAATAAGGCTTTGAAAAGTCGCCATTGCCAATCTTTGATCAATAGGAGAAATGCAGTGACCTAAACCTAATCTCATACTTAAAAATTATCACCGATAACCTTTGACTAAAAAAAAACACTCTAGTAATTCACTATAATAGGTCACACAAAGGAATTTCTTTATTGCTCAGAAAAATTGTCACCGACAACTTCTGGATAAGGAATTTCTGTAATTTTCTCAATAGAAGGCAAATACGTGAGTTTAATGTATGTGTTATTATTGTTTTAAGATTTGTATTTGAATTGTGATTATAATGTCTATTTATTTGTTTACTTCATTGTATGTGTTATTATTGTTTTAAGAGTTGTAAGTTGTAATTTATATCTTTTTGTAAGATTTTGTTGTGTTACTGTGAAAGACAAAATATATAATGAGATGATAATATAACATTCAAATCACATTGATAATTTAAAACAACCATATTAATAATTTAAAACAACAATTGCCTTTCAAGACATAGATAAATGCATTAAAAACAATATTAAATGACGACAACTATGTTGAAAATAAAAAATAATAACATATAATTAGATGGCCATATCATGACAACTAAACACTAAAAATTAGTTGGATATTGTCTTCAACTATAGTTTTTGCGTAGATAAAGATCACACATTATGGCCTTTTCATTTTATGTATATTCATTTTATTTAAAAAAATGAGTTAATTTGGGATGACCTTTTATTATGCACTTTAAGGCTAAATTAGAACAAAAGTTTTGTGCCTCTATATTACTGCCATGTGCTTTCATTCTTGATCATTCTGAATTCTTTTTTATAAACTTTGCATACTTCATTAATACTATAGACATAATTAATAACGTTAGTTAATGTTTTGACTACAATAAGCAGCAATCACATGACAACATGAATATCTACTAAACTGCATGTCACCATTGTCAGAGTACTTTTGTCTCAAATAAACTTTATACTCTTACTGGATATAAAGAGAAGTTAGGTGTAGAGAGAAGATGTAAAAGGTGATTACAGGAATAGAGATAAAAGTAGAAAGATGAAAAAAAGTGTTAGATATGAAGTGAATGATGAGAGTAGAAGAAGAAGTTAAAGAAAAAAAAGATAAGTTACATATAAAAAGAAAATAAAGATGGTTGAATATAGAGATCAAAAAGTGTTAGATATGGAGAGAAAAAAAAGAAAAAAATTGGAAAAGAATATATAAAATTTATTTAAACGAATTTTGCTTAATATTTTTTATTATTTTTTTATTTTTATTTAAACAAAAATAAAATTAAACATTCAAATTCCGCCACAATCAAAAAAATATTTATATCCATTAATTTATTAGTACTTCATACAAATTAGTTATGCAAATCCATTATTTATTATTTAGTTCATGGTTTCTCCTATTCTCTAAATAATTAACACAATTTTTTAACTTTTACTTTAAAATTTTTTAACATGTAACTATTTTATAATGTAAAGATTATACTATTATATAGGCATTTATAATATTTAAATACTTTAATATTATTTTAAAGATCAAAATATTATAATAATAATAACAATTAAACTTTATTTTACTAAAGGTTGACGGCATAAACTATATAGTGTCGTTAAACTTGATAAAAATTAAATATCTTAAGACAATAAAAATTTAAAACACTTATCTTTTACAATATCATTGTATAGATGTAAAATTTCTATAAATCATCATCATAGGTGAAAGTTCATTCCACCTAAAAGTTCATTTACCTAACAGAAAAGAAACATAAAGTTTATCATTCAAGAAGAATGATGAAAATTCTCATTAAAATATACTGAAAAACATAAAGGCACAAGAAATATTGATTTTGAAGATTGCCATGGTAACGAGGGAATATTTTACTTTCTCCTAAAGTTATGATGTAAATTAATAATTACTTTTTATTTCAGAGCATTTTCATTATTTAAATTTCGAGGACATGTTTTTGCATTTAACCAAGAAAAAGTAGACCATGTAATTTTTGTTTATTTTATATACCACAACTTTTTTTTAATATAAATTTTGTTTTAACGAAAATATTCTTTTCTCTTTTAGAAAGCAAATTCTCAAATTCGTGGCTCGCAAATGAACAGTCTCCCTCACGTTCATAATCCGATCAAATGATTCATGTCACCGTTCCCAATGGACCCGCCGTTGCAAGGCCCAAACAACCAACACGACGACGTTTTCTTCGACGCGCTTCCTCAGTGCCCCTTCCACCATTGCTCCGGCGACGCCGATAAATCGCCGGAATCTTCCTGCTCTGCTTCCATTATTTGCGATCCTGACCCTCCCTCTCCATTTCCGGCCACCACAGTCCGCCGCCGTTCAACTCGCCGTCGGTCACCGGTTAGGGAATCCAATGGCTCCGACGGTAATTCGGTGAACGGTGCCGAAACAAAATTCCGGAGCAATCAAAATTTTGAAACTTCGAAGGAAAATGAGAATCTTCTCGAGAAATGCTATTCAAATCGAGAGAAAGTTCGTCCCTTTCAATCCCCGAGTGTTGTCACCGAAGAGAGAAGCGAGGAATCAACGCTAACCACAGCTGAGAACGACGATGGACCCGGCGATTCCGCTGACTCGGCGGCGGAACTTGGTGATTCCCCTTCGAATTCGCTTGAATATGTTGCTGCTTTGGTGATTAGGGCAATTATGTTTCAAATTAAGATTTTCATTGTGTTGATGAAGTGCCCAATGTTGTTCATGTTACACGCTTGCATGTTTTTTGTGGACCCTTTTGGAACAATTAGAAAGGGGAAGGGTTATTTTGTGGAAATTTTGGGTGAAGTGTGGTGCTGGGTTTGTGGTTGCCTTGGTCCTTCAGTTCAGGGATGGTTCAAAGAGCACAAGTCGTTATGGAATGCTGTATTTAGGTGTGGATGGGGTTTGTTGTGGTCAATCTATGTTTGTTTCATTTTGTTTGCTCTTTTGGTTTCCTCACTTGTGGTTGGTTGGTTTTTGGTGAAGTGTTTGGTGGAGAAGCCGTTTCAGATGAGGCAAGTTTTGAAATTTGATTACACCAAGCAGAGTCCTGTTGCATTTGTGCCCATAATGTCATGTGCTGGTGTTGGAGGTGGCCAAGATTATGAGAATGACATGGCAGTTAGTAGGTGGACGAGTAAAAGGGTTATACCTGCTAATCAGAAAGTGCTGGTAACTGTGTCATTGCTAGTTCCAGAGTCAGGATACAACACAAATCTTGGTGTTTTTCAGGTACCTATCTGATTTATTTCAATCTAGAGAAGTTTTAGGTTGACATGAACTGCTCTGAATGATGTTTTACTGGTTCTGATGTAAACGTGTAATGTTAGTACAGGGACCTTTCACTAGTATACTTCTGAAGATAGCTTTGTAAGGGTTTGAGTGGCAACTTGGTGCTAGTTTTCACTCTTAATATCTTCTCATTTGCATTATTTGAGTATAGTTGGAGTTTGGTTAGATGAATTGTTGTAAACATGATTTTAGAATTTCACGTATTAGTTTCATTTGAAAGGAGTTCAAAAGCTTCTATTATGGCAGTGTGCCTGTGCTGTGGTAGCTCCAGTATTTCTTGGAAGGACTTGTCAGGCAACTCATTTGAGAGGAATTGAACTGGTTAAGAGAGTCCATTATTCAGTGCCCTTATCTAATTGTTAAATTTTAACTGATAACTACAGGGTAGCGAGTTATCACCACAATATACGCCAACTGTGGCTTTGACGTAAAGGTTGTGTACTTGTGTTAGAGACCAAGGGCTTATTTGTTTTACATTAAGAATAAATTCCTCACACGTACCCATTTCAAATGTAAAATTTGTGGCTGAGATTATTTGGGCACACATCTAATTAAGTTCAACAGTTCAAACTTTCAAAACAATTGGGCTCTAAATTTTTATTTATTTATTATTATTATTATTTCTGTTTATATACTTAGTTTTCCTGTCATTATGGTGTGGGTGCTTTAAAATAATAGTTAGCTTTATTAGGCAAAGAATGGTGTATGTACTTTTTGACTGTCTGATCATGATTTCTTTGATTGTTGGATTCTGTTGAAGTTGTCATTTCCTTGTATTCTGCTTAAAGAATTTGAACTATGATCATAATTACAGTTCATAATTTTTCGTTGCATGCTTTTGTGTTCTTCTTTGACATGCCTATTTTATATAGATCAGGGTAGACTTCTTGTCTTCTGATGGCAAAACAATTGCAAGTTCAAGCCAACCTTGCATGTTAAAATTCACAAGTGAGCCTATCCGCGTAATCATGGTGTTCCTCAAGATTGTACCACTGGTTACCGGTTATATATCAGAAACCCAGACCCTGAATGTCAAGATGAGAGGTTTTGTTGAAGGGCATGTACCTACTTCATGCTTAAAAGTAACACTTGAGCAGCGAGCAGAATATCCACCTGGTGCTGGCATTCCTCAAATATATGATTCATCTGTAGTTATTGAATCAGAACTTCCCTTATTCAAGAGGATTATATGGCATTTGAAGATGGGCATATTTGCATGGATCACAATGATGACATTCATGATGGAGTTACTCTTATTACTCTTAGCCCTAGTGTGTTGCTGGCCTATAATGATTCCAAGAACCAGGCAAAGGAGTGGTTCTGAAAGTGTTACTGGTGCCCATTCGTGACAGTAATGGAAGAATACCCCCACCCCAATAGTATAACCTGGCATATTCTGACATGTAGATCTATATTTAGTGAGGCATCCTAACTTAAATTCTTTCTTTCTTAAATTTCCTTTTCAAATCACAATGTACATGTTTAATTGCACATTATGTATAATATATTTTGGCCAAATCTATGTCCATATAGCTGGCCAACAATTTTGAGTACCTTTTTTTTTTCACTTTATCAAGAGTTTTGAATATTTTTTCAAAAGAAGTTTACGATTCAAGGAAATCGAGCAATTTTTTGTCCAAAATTGAATAATTGTTGATTCATGTTCATAGAATGGTTTTTTATTAATCAAATATTAACTAATTTAACCGTTGATGACTGTTTTACTTGACACCTTTCTTCAGTGGAAAGGAATAAAAAAATTAATTTCATATCTCCAACTGAAGAATGGAGTCGATGCATATAAAAAAAATTTTATCACGGGTTTTGTAACGCAAATCAAACAAAGGCATCCATGTGAATTTTATGCTCATTTTGACGCAGCCCATGTGACAGAGATAGGAATTTCTAATCTTATCCCAAAGGGATAAGAGCGTGAAAGACACATTCTGGACATAGTACTTGTTTGGAATTGATTAATTAAGAAAATAATTATTTCACGACCCCAAAAAAATAAAAATTATTTTTATTAAAAGCTCTTATAAAAGCTAAAATGTAAAGATTATTTCTCTAAAATATATTAAACCAAAGAAACAGTTAACAATTACCTAGGTATAACGGCACTGTTTTTTCTTTTTTATTTTCTTTTTGGTCTAAAATAGTGGTACTGTTCGACGAACTAAATTTAAACTTACATCTCCATCTCATAAAGAGAAAATATAATATTCCCTTTTGTAATTTCCCAAAGTAAGCCCATTTTCACAGTAAGCCCATTTTCACAGTAAGCCCAACTAGTTTCCCAAAAAATCTCAATATATAGTAGCGACTTGGTTTTGACGAAAAATCAATAGTAACGACTTGGGCAATTCAACTATAAAAAGTTCCCTATTTACATAGGTGATTGGAATGAACATGAACATTGACCCAAAACAGAAAAAAAAAAAAAAAAGAAGGAAGAATGAATTTAGTCAATTCAACAAGTCTTAAATATGTTTTTATCCTATATTATTTTTAGATTTTAATTTTAGTCTCTTCACTTTTTTAAAAGTTTTAATATTTAATTTTTTTTAATTCAACGATTTTATGTAGCAAAATAAAAAGTTGGGCAGTGAAATTAAAAAAATTGCTACATGACAAGTTGACAACCTCTTTGGCACATTATTACTAGGAATAAAAATTCTTGAATTAAAAAAATTAAAAAATCAGAATCTTATTAAAATATAAGAATTAAAAATATATTTTAGTTAATGAAAAACAAGGAGGAGAAGGAGGAGGAGGAGGTGACCTTTTTATTTGTTTGGACATATTATTGTGATGGTGTGTTTGCTACAACATTCTAGTGATTCTTCCTTCTACTTTGACCCTTATACATGGTGACCTCCAAAACAATAAAAATTGGAGAAAACAACTTAGCTAAAGCTAATTGTCCTCTCTAAATGACACTTGAAGACACCCTTCATAGCATTGCTTAAATCACCTTGAGCCACCATTTCCTTTGAGGAAAGAGGAACTCTTTGTGATCTCACGCAATGGCTTATCGGTGTACCGAATGGTGTTGTAGACCCATGCCCCAGCCACAGCCCCCAGAATTGGAGCCACCAAATATATCCATATTCCTCTGTATTCATTGTGTACAAAAGCAGGTCCTATGCTTCTTGCGGGATTCATTGATGCCCCTGTGATTGGCCTGTCATATAAATAAGTAACCATGTCATTCACTATTCATTAGATAAAAATGCACAAATGTAAATAGTAAATAGCTCATATAATGTAGTATTATATTTTTTAATCTCAACCATCGAAGACTCCAATAATATTCATATTCAATCACGCAAATGAGATCATACTTTGACCTTTATTTTGCTTCCAAAAGGTGTAACATCTTTGAGTGAATAAAGTAATGTTCTTAATGTGAACGCCTACACTTATATTGAAAAAGCTTTGGGATAAATTAATACCCTGCAAACATCACATTCAACAGCACGGTAGACCCAACGGCAATCCCGGCCAACTCACCGATCTGCAAGATTCAAAATTAAATGAATAAATAAAAGCCATTATATTGGGTCCAAGAATTACAAATATTCTAATATGGGATTTTTGTTTCGTATAAGAAACTTATTGTGAGTTTCTTCCAGACTTTTCAAAACGTTACAAATATATGTAGACAACTAGTCCATTAATGCACCGTTTTTTAAGTCAGATTTTGGGAACCTGATTAGCCAACCCCTATTATGCTAGACATGATCAATTATTTTATTAAATAAAATAAGAGCGAATTACAAGAAAGAAAACAAAATTTAAGGGTAAGAAAAGCTACCGCTCTGTTATCGGTGGCAACCCCGGATATGATAAACATAAGGTAAAAAGTGATTATGAATTCAACCACAAAAGCTTGCAGATAAGACCCAGCTGGGAGTGTTCCTGAAAATTGGTCATGCTTGCCACTAAATATTAGTCTCAGAGTCCCACTTGCAAGTGTGGATCCAAGGACCTGAGCTACTACATAAATTGGTACCTACGAGTTTTAATGGGAGGATAACAATTAATATCACTCAATAATTTCATCACAAATTGAGACAATTGAATAGACTAATAGAGCAACAAGCTTTCTCGTATTCCATCATTTTTCTAGCTACATTTTCTATAAGTTGTTTTATTTGGCTATTAAATAAACTAGAACAGAAAAGGTTAAAGCAAAAACTTAAGAAGTGATTGAATCATAGGTTTAAAGCAAAGTGAGTAATAAACTAATTTCACCTCTAATTTGTTTTACCAATAACTAATGTTATAGAGGAAAAATGTTGCGTTTGGTTCACCTGCTTCAAGGGAAACCTTTTGGTGGAGGCAAAGGCAATGGTGACAGCAGGATTGAAATGGGCACCAGATATGTGACCAACAGAATAAACCAACACCATCACAGCCAGACCCCAAACAATTGATATCCCAGGAAGTGTTACCACATTGTCATTATTTTTGTTCACAACCACTGAAGCACATCCTGCGAATATCAAGAAATATGTGCCTATCACCTCAGCTACCAACTGTAACCATCAACAAACAAAACCGTATTGTTATTTCTGATCTCAATTTTTCAAGTTCAACGTGATCAATGAAGAGACAATATAGCATATCACAACACCACAAAAATAAGATTCTAGCAGAGATAACAATTTATTTCATCTAATCAAATCCAATATGGGTAATGGGTGTGTGCGCAGATGATTTCAATGGGTTATTGGGCACAAAAGAAAGAGTATGACTTAGGACACACCTTCTGCAAGAAAGACACTGTAACATAGGTGCCTGAATCTTCTCTTGTTTGAGAGACATCCTTGTTTACATTTACAACCACCTCATTTGTTGCTGAATTGTCTTCCATCGCCGACAGAAAAACAAGGAAACAGCTGATAAATGAACAAGGAAACCTGTTTCCTACAGGTGACAAAGAAGATGAACCAAACAAACCCTTTTGTTCTTGTGGACAGAATAAACACTGTGCTCCTCTATGTAGTTTTTGAAATTATATATGATGTTTCAAGATTGAGGAGAAATATATTTTGGGTCAAGGGGATTGTATAGATAATGATGCGGTTGGCAAGAACATATGAATCATATCTGGACTTTTTAATAGCATTGTTGTCAGCTCTATTTTTTAATATTTGGACAACGATGATTTTGAAGATTGCATACATCTATATCTAATTTTCACCTAAATACTCGTGACGTTTGATATAAGGAATGTTTTTATCATTTAAAGAAATGACATGAGAATAAAAATATTTTTTTAACATTAATTTTTTTTAAGAATATTAATTTGTGTATTAGTAGGAATAAAGCTTACGCATTTTCCTAAGTAAGAATAAAATTTCCTGTGGTAATTGATTATATAATTATTAAACTTCTCTATAATAGCTGACCATAAATATATTATTTTTAAAAAAAGTTAAAAATTAATTAAATATATTTTCTTTTCAAAAGCTATGGTCCTAAGATTCTCATTATTAGGAAAGTGATTAAAATAAAAAGGAAATATTTTTAATATTAAATTTTACCTTAATATTTTCCTGTTTAACTAAAAAAAGATAAGAAGATTGAATCAGCTTCATGAACCCTACCGTCGGTGATTCTGTGTAAAATTTGGTCTCAAAATTAAAAAACGAGAGTCATTTATTAAATTCTTCACATTTATTTATTTAAGAAAGAAAGAAAAGAAAAAATTAACCTATTTTAGATTTTGCTAACATTAAATGGCAACATATCACACTTTAATTTGGGACTTTTACAAATTCCTTCTTTTAAGTTTTAATTTTATTCGCAAATTGGGCTTGATGCTGGAAAATTTTGGATTTACAAAAAAATTGTTTGGCACTGATAAACACAAAGGATGGTGGATGGAAACAAAATGATAATTGTCATTTTCTTATTCTTAACAATTAACACTCTTCACGAATGGACCTTAACTTTGTGGTTTATTTTTAAAAAGTTGTAATTATATGTGATAATTATATTATTTTCTCATTATCCGAGTGTTTAATTCCGCCGCCTAAGGATCTCCAAAGGGACAAGTGTTAAAGACGAGACGATGTCTGTGTCTTCCATGCACTAATACAACTTGTTTGTCATGTCCGATAATTGCACAGTTATAGTTCCTATAAGCACTCACAGAGTCCTTTTGCGTTTAAATTACTCTCTCAAATATAAAAGAAGAACACTTTAATCTTCCAACTATCACAGAAAAGAAATTAATTTTGAGATATAATAAGATCAATTTTTTATTTAGTTTACCTTTTTTTATGAATATTTATTGATAAGTTTACTAAACTTTAGCCGCAATATTATACCTTATATACATGTATGGTAACTTTAACTTACATAACTGTTTTTTTTAAGAATATTTACCTTGATTTTCATCATTTAGAGACTATGCATGATGATTAACTTCATATCGATCTTTCATGTACTAGTCAAACATTTTCTTCTTTACCAGTTCAAACATGTAGAGTTTGTAGGTATATCTTACTGCTTTGCAATATCTTCAATTGAAGGCAAGTGTTTGTCACTTTTTTTAACTTGGATAAAGTCTTCTGGTTTTATATATATATAAGGGTAGTAAGACACTCTTACAATAACAAGACTTGCCATAATTATTCTTGTTAAGACATGGAAATTTAAATTGATATAAGTCATTATTCACCATTTACCAACCCTAAAAAATTTGAATTAACTCTATTCAAGCTCCGGTATTATTTTGCTCAAGAAAGCATAAAAATCTACGAAGAAAAATCATTTATACTTTTTCCAAGACTCCAATATCATACTTACAATAGGATTGGAGAAACTTTTAGACTTTCACTATATATTCATAGGAACTAAGATACAAAGTTTGTAGACAAAATGCATGATCTTTTATAAAGCAAGGAAGTAAATCATACAACTTTCTTGAATGACTTTATACTTATATATATATTTTCTAATTATTAATACTAAGTTCTAACAAAAGACAAGTACATGGCAAAAGTTATTGATTCTCCGCATGCGTTAATGGGAAGATTTGTCCATTAATTACGACCTGATCCTTTGAGGAAAGAGGCACTCTTAGTGATCTCACGCAATGGCTTATCTGTGTACCTGATGATGTTGTAGACCCATGCTCCGGCCATGGCCCCCAGAACCGGTGACACCAAGTATATCCATATTCCCCTGAATTCTGTGTGTACAAAAGCAGGTCCCAAGCTTCTAACTGGGTTCATGGATGCTCCTGTGATTGGCCTATCATCATATAACAACTCTCTTCATTAGATATTTCCATAATCATACTCATACTAGGAATGTATCAAATGAAAATGATAATTTTTTATTTTTATTTTTTGCGGGAGAATGTAAAAATAAATATTAATTATTTACTTTTATAAGAACAGTGAAGATTATTAAAACATAAAATTTTCATATATTTTTAAAAATAATTTTGTGATTTAAAAAAAATAGCAATTTATGTATTCACGTGGGATGCTAGATCTATCTACGCCATTGTAAAAGCCTACTATTGACTTTGCATTTAATTAGGATTTGGATAGGTTAATGTATACCCTGCAATCATCACATTCAGTAGTATCGTAGACCCAATTGCAAGCCCAGCCAACTCACCAATCTGCGGAATTTAGAAATTAAGTTAATAAAGACAGTGTGAAAACAGAGTTTAAAAAGAGTATTTTATTTTCAAGAATGCAAGTAAAATACTTTTTAATATATTTTTTAATATACTTTTAATTATTAACTAAAATTTATTAAAAATTATAGGAGTTTCACTTTTTTATTTTTTATTTAGTATTTTTTCTCATATTTTTATAATTTTAAATAAATTTTATTTTAAAAAATATATTAAAAAGTATATTACTAACATTTTTCACAACTACATCTCAGTGTATTTGGGATAGAAATTTTTAAATAAAAACAAAGAATACTATTTTTATCATTTGCTCAATTAACTAAAAAAATCTAAATGCATTATAAAAAATTTATTTTAAAGTTATTATTAGGATCTCTTTTTATTTTAAATTTTAATTCTTTTTGGCCACTTCATGTAACTTAATATTAAATAAAAATGATACTTAAATATTATGTGCAAGGTGAATCCTAGGATCAAACACCTAAAATCCCTGCTTTAAGTTACATTATTTGATGTTTTATAATTTTGAAATTATTTAAAATATATACAATATGTCTCAGAAAAAAATATTACTACTTGTTTATATAATTTTTCTATCTTATTCACCAATTACATAGGTTAAATTAAAAAATACAAATAATCTCTTTGTAAATTTATCTATAAATTGTAGACGGAAATAAAAATTTGTTGTATAAATTATTGATGTCAAAATTATAGACAAGTTTTATATGTTTGTAATCATTTAAATTTTTTTAATAAATCTATTTATATAATGTGAAATTTTAATAATGAAATTATTCTTTTTAAACAAAAAGCTTTTTTTATCCTTTTATTATAAGGACTTGATGCATACATTATTTTCGTTAATATTCTCTGCTAAAAAACAATCTAATTTTTTTTTAAAAGTAATTATCTTTTTATCTCATTAATTAGCATCTCTTGTTATATTAATCTTAATTGAAATACATATATTTTATTATTTACGAATAAAAACAATACAATGAATTAAAGCCACTAAAATACTTGCTAGTGTAAATATTAATTACCTATTTTGATAATTTAGTAAATAATTTTGTACTTCAAAAATTGTAAAAAATATAAATTTTAATATAATGATATTAATAAATTATTTTAATTAATTTAGAAAGTTTTTATCTTAAATTTTGTTTTACACATAAGATCATGATCATTGATCCGACCTGGATTCTGTGTTTTTTCCATTTCATTATTGAGAAAAGAAGTGACATAAGAATAATTTAAATTTTTTTATTATTTTATTATTTAAAAAATAGTGTAAGAATAACACAATTTTTTTAATGTATAAATATCTTAGTTGTCATATTTCAAAACCATTATCCTTGGTGCATAGCCATGCCTATCTCCACTTCTTTATGTAATTGTTATAAAAATTGGTTTTGTTCCTTTGACTAAAATATGAATGAACTAATAAGTATGCGACGTATATATGACTCAAAGCATTAACGGTTCAGAAAACTGTTAATAAGCCAATCATGTCGGTTTGAAACCTTTGGAGAAAAGTAAAACAAAAACTAAACTATTATTTAGGACATTTTTTCAAAATAAACAAAAACAAACCTTAAGAACTAAACAATATGTTGTTTTAAGAGTGTAATTTTATAACACCGTTAACGTTACAAAAAAAAAAAAAAAGCTTTATACTGTTATATTTGCAAAGCCATATTACTTTTATCCACGTATGTAAAACAACACATAATAAAAATTGATATATAGTAAAATTTTATTAAAAATTATAAAATCTAATACAATTTAATGTATTAATACTATTAAATTCTATAATTTTTATAATTTTTTTATTATTTATCTTTTTGTATATGTCAGAAAAATCATTAATTTAAAAGCCATGTTTATTACTTTATATAAAGTTTCTTATGCGGTTATGCACGAAGCTACCAAGATGTGACAAGAAATATAGGGCAATTGAAAATAAATGAGGAGAGACGTTACCGCTCTGTTATCTGTGGCAACTCCGGAAATGACGAACATAAGGAAAAAAGTGATTATGAATTCAACGACAAAAGCTTGCAAGTTAGACCCACTTGGCAGTGTTCCACTAAACTGGTCATGTCTTCCACTGAATATTAGTTTCAAAGTTCCACTAGCAAGTGTTCCTCCAAGGAGCTGAGCTGCTACATACGCTGGTACCTATTACAATTCCAAAGACAGATAAGTTAATAATATATTTTTAATGAAATTTTCTTACTCTATTTCCTTTTTTAATATTAAAATATTTTTAAAAGTTGGGCTTAAATTTTGTGGCAAGAAGCGACGAATAGTGAAAGAAAGTTTTAGAGTTGGGTTGACCTGCATCAATGGAAACCTTCTGGTGGAGGCAAAAGCAAGGGTGACTGCAGGATTGAAATGGGCACCAGAGATGTGACCAACAGAGTAAACCAACACCATCACTGTGAGTCCCCAAACAATTGAGATCCCAGGAAGTGTGACCACATTGTCGTTGTTCTTGTTCACCACAATTGAAGCACATCCTGCAAATAGCAAGAAGTATGTGCCCACCCCCTCAGCTACCAACTGCATCCATCAGTATACAAAACCAAATCATTATATCATATCAATTCTGAACATAAGACAAAACAAATACTAGGATTTTCAATTTTGGAGAGACCTTTTGCAAGAAAGGAACAGAGATATAGGAGTCTGAAGCTTCACATGTTTTGGAGGCATCCTTTGGTACATTTACAACTACCTCATGGGTTTCAACTCTTGCTGAAGTATTAGCCATCAGCCACACAGAACAAGGAAACAGTTTAGGAGGAAAGAAACTTAGGTTTCTAAACTGCCTATAACACTTTCCTGTGTCTCCTCAACAACTAATGAACTCTCTCTCAGCAAACAACCCCATTTATAGCCACCCAAAAGTTGCTTTATAAAGAGACAATGATTTTATATTCTTATAACCAATATTTCTAATTGTACTCTACTCTTAATTATTAAATTTTTTATATTTTATATAATTAATATTTTTCTTTTAACTACATGTTTTAAGAGGTTATGGCATTAGCCAGAGAGGAATATACAGATCTTCCAAATAAAAGAAAAAGAAAAGGAATATGGAGAGAGAACCAAAAAAGGCAAAGAGCTTGGACTTTTCCTTTCTCACGGGAGAGAAGACAAAACAACTCTATGAATCTTGGTACTTTTGGAGATATTAGAGATTACTAATTGGATTTGAATCTCCAATGTATTAGTTTTTATAAAAATAAAAATGCTTATAATAAAACTCATTATTATTTAAATGACTTAGTCATTTATTTATTTATTTATTTGTATTCTTAACAATATTTTCATGTTATTTACAAAGTAAGGTGAGTGATCAATTATCATTTGGGTGTTGTGTCTATTGACATTAATAAAAATTCAAAAGAGCTTATGGAGCATTTGAAGTGGTTAATTTGGCTCTGAAAATGCATTGAAGGCTGACCCAACTACCACCGTATATACAGATAGCATCATCAATAGGTCTTCAGATATAACTATATTTACTCTTTTGGGGTCGGAGTTACGGATAGAGGAATGGGCAATGGACCAGCTATCATGTGGAAACTTATTTACATGTTTTCTGTAGGGATATATTTTTAGCTCTTTAATTATTCATGTAATAGAACTAGGAGACCTGTGCGTTCATTTATAATTGAATAGTTAATTTTCGTATTTTTAATAAAAATATGATTAATTTATTTATATATAAATATGAAATTACTTTTTATTAAAATTAGTTATAATCAACTGCAATACAAATGTCCTAATTTATTAAATATATTAAGACTTTAGATATATTTTTTAATATATACTTTAAAAAAACATGTATAAAAGTTATTTTACTCATAAAAAGGAAAGAAAATTTTATATGGAACTTATCTTATTCTTGAAAATGAGGACTCCAATATATATCGAATTGAAATGAAAGTCAGATTTTGATTTAGGAACAAAAATGAAAGTTTTGAAGAAGAAATAACTAGTCGTGAGAGGATTGAAATGAGAGAGAGATATATCGAATTACCATCACACGCTTATTAATTATCTCTATTATTCTTGAATCCTTATGGAATATAACTTTCACCTTAGTTCAGAACTTGTTTTTACATTTTCTTAAATTTTCAAACTATTAATTACTTTTCAAAACTTCTATCGCATTAAATTTTCTTAAATTAATTAATTTAAATCAATTTTAAAAATTTCTTTGTTTCCCTTCTATGTCTGAATATTTATACTATTCATTTATTTGGATTAATTATACTTGTCTTTTATAATTCAAATATTATTTACATTTTACTGAAACTAAAAAAAATATGAACACAATACACGAGATACTGGTTAATTTAAAATAAAAAACATTTACAAATGTGAAAAATTAATGTTGCCGGACAACCTCTTCAATTTTGCATGTATTCTGATTTCGCACAATTGAAGAGCCAATCTTTAATAACTTATGTTAAAATAATTATTTTTCAAATTTATTTTAAAAATAAATTTAGGTTGAGATACATAAAAATTATAATAATTTTAAAATATTATTTATTTAAAAAGATGTTTAATTTAATTAATTTTTCAAAAGTTATGATTCAAATTAAATTAAAATGTCAATGCTTCATTAACTCATGTCGAAAAAACTTTTCTCAACTTTATTAATATGGTGTATCAAAATTTAAAACTAAACTTAGATTTATCAAAATAATAATAATTTTAAATTATAATTTAATTTAATGTATAAAAATTTGAATTTAAATTAAAATATATAAATGATATTTAAAAAACAAAAAATTATAAATGTTAAAAAATACGTAATGTATAGAAAAATAAAATAACACTTAATCAAAAAAATTATTTTAAAAAATTAAATATATTATTGGGTAGGAATGGGCACTCAAATTTAATATATCAAAATAAATTGAAATTAATATTATATCTAATTTGGCTGATCCTTCGAGTAATACATTGGTTGATACATATAATTTTTATTATTCACACATACATTTATAAATTCGACTTGTAATCATTTGTGTTACAGTTTTTATCATAAAATGCCGGATAGAGCTTAGCAAAAGACGAATAGAAAAAATAAAAAATTTTACGGAGCTAATCGATTAGAAGAAGATACGAAATTAATAATTGTTTTCTTTCCAATGTTTTTTTAGTGCTTCCTTCTTGCGGCGATTCTTCAAAAGATGCAGCATTTTAGGAAGAAAAAAATGTTATAATATAATAGAAGAAAAAAAAAAGTTGTTTTGTCTTTTATTATTTGGACTTGGAGCATCTGAAAGATTTTGGTAAACCATGTTTGTCGTCTTAAAGTTTGTTGATTAATTCAATCTTATGTAGGGCATCTTAGTCTTGACAAAATCTAAGTCACTTTTGCAAATTTATTATTGATATTATATAAATTAAAGAATGTCAAAATAATATTGAAACAAAGTACCAAACGAAATTTTATTAATCCTCTTAATATAATTTTCCCAACTAAATAATGAGTCGTTTTCTTAGTTATTATATGCTCTGTGTTAGGTATGTTTGCTTAGGACCAGATCACGGTACTTGTCTGTAATGATCGAAAGTCAAATTAGGATTGAATTAGCAAATTCAATAAAGTAATCAGAGTTTTAATATTTTTTATTACTTTAAAAGATCATTCAAGCTTAATAGATAATTTGTATAACAGAATTTTTAGATTTTTTTTTCTGTCATATAAATTGATTTAAAAATTTTGCTAACTTTGTTATAATATGCATACAAGCAGGCACGTAATGCAATTATAATTGAATTTTAAGTTATTCGTTAAATAAGAGAGAATTCGATGAAATGTTGTAAGAATTATTCATACATGATATGAACTAAAACTCATGATAATCATTTTCAACATAAAAGACGATAAATGGTAAAGTAAACATTTGTTTCGTTTCATTTTAGTTTTAGATGATTTTTTTAGTTTGTCATATTACTGTTATGTGGTAACAACATTCACTTTGAAAAGTTTAAAATTTATGAACAGTGAAAGTAACAAAAAGAAGGCTTTTCTTTCATAACTCTTCATAGTCAAATACATGCATCTCCATTGTCAGAAAAGCAAGTAGTGTCATGTGCATTATACACTCACACGTGTGTAGAATAGAATCAAATGATTATCTCTCAAATTTGATAAATTTTTAATAATTTTTATAAATATTAAAATTTTATTAAATTGACTGTTGTATCACGATATATTATTTTGTTAAGCATATATGTTAAATTTGAGATAATTCGAATATACTTAAACATGTACTATAATGATAAAATTTTGTTTATATTTTAAATAATATATCATATTAAAATAAGAAAATTATAATTAAATTTATTTTATTTTATGAAAAAGCTTAAAAAATTAGTTTGATATAATTTAATATTTATAAAAATTGATTAAAAATATTATTTTGTAAAGTTTATCCTCATGAAATATTAAAAAGAGCAAAAGAAACACATTCTACTTTGTCTAAAGAATGAAGATTCAGTTCACATGATACACCGAAAAGAATAAACTCAATTCACATTACCACAGGGCAGGAGCTTTAAGCTGATATCACATTGCTGTCATAGCCACGTAGTATTGAAAATTCTTTAGTTTAATTTTATATTCAGTTTCTCGTTAATATTAAATTGTATTTGGGCTTTTAAAAGTTTAGTTTATTATTATTTTTATCTCACCTAATCAAGTGTTCCTGTAAGTTATTTTTAACAAAATATTATAAATTTATCTTTTTTTTCTCAAATATTTGAGAGTTTAATTTATTTTGGAAACAAATACATACTTATAATTAACCCTTAAGACTTAATGTTAACAAGACTCTTAAATATACATTTAAATTCCATCAACGAAGTTCAACAGTGTTAATTAATAGTTGAAGTTTGTTAATATTTTGATAAGGGTTTAATTCCATCTTAAGTACATGAAAACTAAATATTATTATAAGAAATTAAGGTTGGTTTGATAATTTTTATATCTTAAAAAAAATCTCTCCCTACTAGTTGGAATATATTCTTATTGTAAAAAGAGAGAGAAAATAATTAGTGATTTTTTTAGTATTTGTCTAATTTTAAATTTTATTTTTTTCATCTATAATTTGTTAAATTAGAAGTTAAAAATGTTAAATAAATTTTATGTTTTAAAAATAATAAATATATGTATTTAAAAAAAATGAAATTTGCTAATTAGTACCATAAGACACTAATTGAGAAATCTAGAATGAAAATTTCTTAAATATTTTTTTAATACATCTTTTTACTTTATTTTAATGTTTTTTAATTTTTAACTAATACTTTAAACCGCTGATTAACATGATCCAAAAATATATATAAAAATAATATTAATAATACCTTGTTTACCATATCTTATTAGACATACTTTTTATTGGTAATTATAAAATTTATGTAAGTCTTATTTACAGTTTAATAAATATCACTTATATTTTATAATATTTAACAATGACAGATAAGAGTACTAAAGGATATATTATTATTTAACCTCCTTGAATGTATATATTTTAATT